CAGTTGCTCAGTTAATCACAAACAAGAAACTAAATGAATGAAACAATAGATATTTTTCTATATCAGTGTGGGTGAGAAATTATCCATTCTCCTAGCTGTGTAACTACATCAAATATGGTTAATTCTGAACATTTGGAACACATTTGCCTGTGTGTACCTTGGAACTGAGCAGTCAGCATATACCTTTTAAGAGTTCCCATATTCACCACCTGAGGCAAATCCCAAAGTGAATTCCACAGTTAAAAGCAAAAGCAAGAACAAGTTTTAACACACTGAAAGAGTACTGCCCTGTGTAGTAAAGAAAGACCGGCCAGTAAATGAGGGCACCCAGGGCATCTCCAATGTCAGTGTGGTCCAACCCCTGCAAAGTGTGGATACATTCACAGACAGTAATGATTTTACTCCCTTAACAGAACTCAGATGCTCCTAAATAGTCCAAATATTATTAATATTTAAACTAAATATAGGTGGTCACAAAAGATTGTAGCTACTGTTCCTATAAATATTGTTTTTATCTCTGACGTAGAAAGAGCTATATTCTTTTTACCAACATGTGTTTCAAACTATTGTAGTACATTATTGATCACCTCTTTCTATTTTCTGTTATAGAAATCTTGTATCAAATGGGCTAATGTATTTTTAAATTTCTTTCTACTCAAGTATTACCCAAGAAGGTAGCAAAGAATGCCTTGAAACAAATGGCACCATCAACAACTGGAACGCCTTTAAAAATGAAAGTCACAGGTTCAGTGGCACCATGCCTGTCTTGAGAGTGTAAGGCCCTGAGTTTGATCCCTGGTACCAAAAAAAGGGAAAGTCACTTTAACTTTCCCTTAAAATTAAAAAAATAAAAATATATTTATATTGTGGAGGGGAAGCTTTTCTAAAATAATCTTAGCACTCAGGAGGCTAAGGCAGGAGGATCAGCGTCAGTTCCAAGCTACCCTTGGCTGTATAAGGAATTCAAGGTCAGCATGAACTATACAGTGAGACTCTGTCTCAGATTTTTAAAAAATACAAATTATGTTTAACCTATTGTTATATCAACCCACAATCATTTTAACACTTATAACATGTATAGGTCATGACTATGATAGACTATTCAGTATAGATGATCTTTTCACTATAGCAAAATAATCTATAATGGAATTTTTTTTTGGTACCAGGGATCAAACTTGGGGTGGCAACACTGAGCTAAATGCCTGGCCCTATAACGGAAGTTTTAAAATAACCTTGCACCAGGTGCAGTGGCACACACCTGTAATCCTAGCTACTCATGAGACTGGGGCAGGAGAATCACAAGTTCAAGCCCAGTGTGGGCAAATTAGGAAGACCTTGTCTCAAAATTAAAAATTAAAAGGACTAGGGATGTACCTCAGTGATAGAGTTCACTGAGTTCCTTCTCTAGTACCAGAAAAAAAATTAAAACATAAAATTAACCTTACAACATCACTACTGGGAAAATGTTTAATTTTATAATAGAGACTATTATAACTTACACAGGAATATTGTCTATTGAATATAAACCTAAAAAATATTAACCAAGGAATCATTATTTGCCTTTCACAAGTGCCTATGTTTTACACAATGACTTATTTAGGTATTCTTTTTACATAGGAAGCACTCTTATGCATTTATAAAGTATTGAATAGACAGATGATTTGCAGACTTGCTTTCAAAAACACATTTGTTTTCAAGGGAGACTCCCTAAAATCTGTATAAATTTGTTCCAAGATAGTCAGCTGAGGACTGTTTTAAGCTAATTTCACTGTTTAACAAAACACTATCTGTAGTCTTGCTGATATTACAAAAAAACTCTCAGGAAGAAATGTGTTCCGGAACAAAGGCTGATATTATAAGGAGTTTAGGGCAGTCTGAGTTTGTCATGTGGCTGAGATTTTGAAAAAGAAGAGGAAGTTACATAATTCAACAAAGCAAGTGACTTTTTTGAGCTTTATGAAGAAATCTGTACAAAGAGCAACAATATTAATTTTGATAATACTAATTTTGATAGTGCTATTATATTATTATTTCAGGAAACTAAACAGTGAGAGTCTCAGTTCTGAAAATAGAATAAAAATTTATAGTAATCGTTTCCATATGCAGTATTCCTATTCATAAGCACCATCATAAACCAGAAAGAGACCTAAGAGGAATAGTTTGGAATAAGGAGCACTGTATTTCAGGCATAGCATGGAATGGAAAAGTGATTTTCATGTGCAGTAGTATCTTTGGCTAATCATACACTACCATGCTAATTGTTAGAATATACTTATATTTGTGTGTGACTACTGAAAATTCTGAAGAAAGAAATATGTTCTGGAAAATAAAGGACTGTAGCTAACCTGTGATCATGGTTTGGGCCTTCAAAAGTGAATCATGTAAACTGGGCATGGTGACGCACACCTGTAATCCCGGCACTCAAAAGGCTGAGGCAAGAAGATTGCTGTGAGTTCAAGGCCAGCCTGGGCTACACAGTGAGTTCAAGGCCAGTCTGAATTGCATAGTGAGACCCTGTCTCAAAAAAAGAAGTCATACAGAGAGATACTACATTTATTTTTTGGTCAATTTGCCTTTCTCTTTTTTAAAAACTGTTTTGCATTCTAAGTTCTCATAATTAATCTTTCTACTTTTTACCACAAAAAGAAATCCCTGAGTGTACTGAAACATACAAAGGGTGATCAGAAATATAGTGAATGTTTAAAAATTTTTTTAAATATTACAGTAAAAAGCACACTGCTATTAATCTTTCTCAAAATACTCTCCCTTGTTTTGGACACACTTATCCCATCCTCCCTGCCATTTTTTGAAGCAGTTCTGAAAGTCCTCTTTAATTAATGTATTTACAAAGTATGATGAAAATAGAGTGAATGCTGCCAACCGCCATCTAATGGAAAGGCAGGCTTATAAAACTATTACAGTGTGTCCTCACCTACCTTATTTACCAGGTCCAGCATCCTGCAATTCTGGTTCTTCCCCAAAGTCAAAATGACCATGAAAGGTAAATGTTTTGAATGGACTAAAGCCATCAAGGTAGCTGTAACAGCACAACTAAGATGTTCATGAAATAGAACTTACAAACTTGTTTCAGGAAGTGGCAAAAATGATGAGATGTGCTCAAGTCTAGCCTGGAGCAATGTAGTGAGATTCATATTTCTCTCTCTCTCTCTCTCTCTCTCTCTCTCTCTCTCCCTTTTTCTCTCCTTTGCTCTCTCCTTCACCCTCTTCTCCTCTCCCTCTCTCTTCATATAGTTACAGTTTCAGGCATTAGAATATAGACATCTTTGAAACGGTCATCATTCAGCCTGTCATAACTGGTAACTCACATGCCACTTCAAATTTAATAATTCTGAAAATAATCTTCTAATCTTCTCACATGTTGTATTTGTACATCTTAGTGTAACTTACCTCAGCAATGTGCCAATAGTCACTTCTTTGCTCATATCAGAAATCTGGTACTCATTTTAGATATGTTCTATAATAAATTCATATCTACCAACCAACAAGACTTCCTGAATTTTTATTTTGATATTGTTTAAATTTCTTTCTTTCTTTTTTTTTTTGGTACCAGGGATTGAACTCAGGTTCTTATGCTTGCGCAGCAGGCAGCAAAACCACTGAGCTAAATCCCCAGCCTTCTTGTTTAAATTTATTTCCACCATCTCCTCTAATTCTCACATCAGGACTACTCCATACATTTTTTAGAATGTCTACCCACATTTTCTGTTCCTATGACAAAATACCTGAGGCTAAATATGTTATAAAGTAAAGAGCTTTATTTAGCTCATATTTGGAGGATGGTCCCATCTGTTCACACTCTGATAGGACCTCCCTTGGCTGGATTACAACAAGGCATAGAAATGGAAAGGAACTGGGTGGGGGGCATGCACCTGTAGACTCTGTTACTCAGAAGAGAAAACTGAAGTAGGAGGGTGGCTGGAGCCTAGAAGCTAGCGCTCTCTCTCTCTCTCTCTCTCTCTCTCTCTCTCTCTCTCTCTCTCTCCTTAATACCAGCAACTTGGGGATCATCACATGAATCTTTGGAGAACAAAACACATCTAAACCATAGCAAAGACATTTTCACATTCAATCTATCTTCTAAGAAATAGAATAAACATTTCAAACGCAAATCTGATCATGTAATCTTTTTCAGTAGTTTCTCCTACTTCTCCAGTAGGAGAAGCATTAAGTGTCTTAAGAATTCCTTCTCTGCCACTGGTGTTCTGGCCCGAATAGCCTCTCGGCTCCTGGCATGCATTCACATTCAACTCAACTCTCTTGCTTTTGCATTTGCTATTTTCTTTGCCTAGAATATTATCTTTCCTTTCATTTTTGGGCTAATTACTACTCTTCAGTTTAAAGGTCATATCTTTAAGGAAGCATCCTTTGAATTTCTAGACTACATTTGGTTCTTCATAATATTTTTTCATCGTCTCCTGAGCTTTTTCCTCAAATACCCATCACAATGTTATTTGTCTAATTATTTTTAATTTTTATATTACCTTTATTTTTAGAACAGTTTTAGTTTTAGGTTTACAGAAAAATTCACCTAAAACTAGAGTTCCTTTATATGCCCTCTATCCCACATATTGTTTATTCTATTATAAACATATATTAATGTGGTATGTTTGTTATAATTGATGAACCAATATTGATGTTAGTAACCAAAGCCCTTTCTTTACTTCAGAGTCCACTCTTTGTGTTGTACTGTGTTCAGTTCTGTCAAAAAACAAGTGTTCTAGAATTCAGTTTAATTATGACACTAACTACATACATGTCACATAATAAAGGACAAGATCTTTGTAAACGTTAGTGTTCTCTAGAAGAGCAGAACCAGTAGAATATGAATATATGCATTTTTCAGGAAAAAATATATACCCTACTACTAATATATATATATATATGTCCTACCAATAGAATAAACATATATTCTACTAATAGAATATATATATGATTCTTGGGTTGACTTACAGGATAAGATGTACATTAGCCCACAATACCTTCTTCACACTGAAGAGCCAGAGGGTCCAGAAGCAGCTCAGTCTGCTTTGAAAGGCTGAAGAAACTGGACTATGATGTCCACAGGTGATGGCAGCTGCAAAAGACAAATCCACTCAAGCAGGATCAAGGTTTTAAGCACAGACTGACTTCCTCCTTCTCCACTTCATTCCATCCAGGCTGCAAACTATTGGATGGTGCCACCCACAGTAAGGGCATGTCTTCTCCCTCAGCTTTCTGGCCCATGTGCCAGTCATCTCTGGAAACACCCTCACAGACAGCAGTGTGCTTTACTAATCTCCTAGGTGTCTCTTAATCCATTCAAATTGACAATCAAGATTATCCATCATTGTCATCAAGAAATTGTCCTTACTTGCAGCTGCAAGGGGGTCCTCATGCTGCTGTCCAACTTGGCTACAAATTTGAAGGTTCTCACCTTCACACACACAAAATTGTGGCTGCAGACAAATTTGAAGGGAGCCTGCCATGAAAGCCTTCTTAGAGATAAACAACAGCTTGAGATTATACTGTAATCAGCACCACCTGGTTTAGTGATGTCCATCGGACAAATGGGTGGATGGCCAAAACACCCTGATCCATACTCCCATCCCTTTCCAGGAATGCCTTAGTTCTTTCTATGTTAAAAGTTATAGACAAGTTGAAGTTAGTTGGTGCTCACCATATACCCTTGCTACATGCCTTGCTTCCCTATTGCACCAATATTAGTTAAGTATTATGCTTGTAATCCTATAGATTGATTGTAGTTTGACCCATAGTTACCCAGGTTGTGATTTTGCTGTATAAAATGCCCTTGACAAAAAGCCTGAGTAGCCACCCACTTGGAACCCCTCCTGGAAATCCAAGAACTATCCTTCTTATTATTATTTCCAATAAAACTCTCCTTTCTCCTTTTGTTTGTGACTTCGTTCCTTGATGTTGTGAGACTACCGACTTGGTGCATATGGTAACATACGGATGCACCACAGTTTCTTTCTCTGTTCACCTACTGAAGGGCATCTTGATTATTTCCTATTTTTGGTAATTATGAATAAAGCAGCTGTAAATATTCATCTTCAATTTTTGTTTCGACATAACCAACACATTTGAACAAGATTAATAATTAGTATGACAAGATTGTGTTTATCTTTGTAAGAAACTTCCAAATTGTCTTCCAAAGTGGCTGTACTATTCAGCATTCCCACCAGCAACAAATGAGAGTTCTTATTGCTCCACCCTAGTTGACATTTGGTGTTGTCAATGTTTTGGATTTTAGCTATTCTAGTAGGTGTGTAGTGTAATATCTCATTTTAATTTGCAATTCCCTAATATTATATGATAATGAACTTCTTTTCATATATATATACTTATTTGCCATCTATCTTTTCTTTGGTGAGAAGTCCGTTCACATCTTTTGCCCAGTTTTTAATTGTCTTGTTTCTAATTGTTGAGGGTTAAGCATTACATGTATATTTTGAATACAGATTGCTTATTCAATTTTTTTTGCAAATATTTTCTCTTGGTCTGTAGCTTATATTCCCTTGACATTGTCTTTTACAGAGCAAACACTTTTCATTCTAACAAAATCCAACTTGTCAGTTTTTCTTCCATGGGCTGCTTTTGTTGTTGCATCTAAAAACTTTTGGCTAAACCCAAGATCACCTAGATTTTCCTCTATTATCTTCTAAATGTTTATAGTTTTGCATTTTAAACTTAGACCTATGATCCATTTCAAGGCAAATTTTATAAAAGATTTAAGTTCTACATCTAGATTCATTTTCTACACATGGTAGTCCTGTTGTTCCAGCACACTTTTTAAGAAGGCTTTTTTTTCTTCACTTTTATGGTAGTGGGAGTTGAGCACAGGAATTTATGCATGCTAAGCACATATTCTACCACTGAGCTATATTCCCAGGTGAGGCCCCCCCCCCACCCCATCCAGTGCCTTTTCTCCTTTATCAAAGGTCTGTTAAATGTACTTTTGGGTCTATTTCTGGGTTTTGTTTTATTTTCCATTGATATACAATATTTGTCTTTTATTTCACCAAAAACAGTCTCTCTTGATTATCATAGTTTTTGTTTTGTTTTGCAGTCATGGGGATTGAACTGAGGGCCCTCACACCGAACAATAGCTCCATTTTGTTATTCTTGGTGTTTCGTCTCTTTCTTTCTTTTCTTTCCTTCCTTCCTTCCTTTCCTTTCTTTCTCTTTCTTTTCTTTCTCTCTTTCTCTCTTTCCTTCTTTCCTCCTTCCTTTTTTTTGAGATTAGATCTTGCTAAATTGTTAAATTATTCAGGCTGGGCTTGAATTTGTGATCCATCTGCCTCAGCCTCCTGGGGTGCTGAGATTACAGGCATTCGCCAACATGTCTGGCTTGATTACCATAGTTTTATAGTAAGTTCTGAAGTCATATATTGCCATAGAATGTTTGTGTCCCTTTCCCCAAAGTTGAAGCCTATTACACGGTATGATGGTATTTGGAGATGGGATCTTTGGGAAATAATTGTGGAACCTTCATAATGGGATTAAAGCGCCTGTAAGAATAGCCAGGTGCAGGCTGGGGATTTAGCTTAGTGGCATTGTGCCTGCCTTTCGGAGCAAGGTCCTGAGTTTGATCCCCAGTACCAAAAAGAAAAAAAAAAAAGAATAGCCAGGTGACCTGGGCTTGCTTGGGCACACCTATAGTCCAGCACTGGGGAGGCTGAGGCAGGATAATCACTGTGAGTTTGAGGGAACCCTGGGCTACATATTTTAAGGCCAGCCTGAGCAACAGAGCAAGACCTTGTCTCGAAAAACAAACAAGGAAAACACCCAGAAGGAGAAAGCATTCTCTCTCTGCCCTTCACTATTCCTCTACCCTCTCTCTGCCACATGAGGAATCAATGGCAAAATGCCCATTACAAACCAGGAAGTGGCCCTCAGCAGACCCCAAATCTTCGGGCAAGATCTTGAAATTTCTAGCTTTCAGATCTTGAGAGGTAAATTTCTGTTAAACCACCTGGTCCTCGGTAATGTATTATAGAAGCCAAACTAAAGCCATTACTGTCAGACCTCATACCTTCTCTTTAGTACAGTATTGCCTTGGCTCTTGGTTTTTTCATAAAACTTTAGAATTAGTTTGTTAATATCCACAAAATAACTTGCTGGGATTTTGATTGAGATTGTGTTAAATCTATAGATAAAGCAGGGAAGAGCTGACATCTTAATATTGAGTTCTTCTACCCATGAACGTGGAATAGCTTTCAGTTATGTAAATCTTAGATTTTTTTCAGAAGTTTGTTTTCCTCACATAGATATTATACACATTTTATTAGATTTGTAGCTAAGTCTTTTATTTTATTTGATTTGTAGCTATCTTTTCATTTTATTTATAAGCAATATTGTGTTTTTAATTTCAAATTCCAGTTGTTCATTTCTGATACATAAGAAAACAACTTTTATACATTAAACTTGTATCTTGCAACCTTGCTATAATTGCTTATTAGATTTATTTTTTGGTCAGTTCTTGAGGATTTCCTATATACACAATCGTATGAGTGCAAAAAATTTTATTTTTTTTCTTTTCTTTCCTGTAATTACTTTTAAATGCCTATTTTGCCAGGTAAGCCATAAGCTCTCTTAGGGCAGTTTTCATCTTGTCTTGATTTTTATGTTCAGATTTTTACTAGTTTTACAAGATTAAGTTTTCTTAGTTTTACTAAGATTGTGGCGCGAAGTAATTTTGCTAAAAATAAATGACCTTGTATGTTAATGCTGTTTTGTGAAGGACTCTATGGCATTCCCTGATAACTATGAATGCTTTCAGGTAATATTCCTTTTTTAAAAATAAGTTTATCAAACACACACACATACAAAAAATTAAAACCACTCAAAGAAGAACAATGCAAGGGGGAAAAAACTACAATAATATTCAAATACAGTAGAATTCAACCAAAACAAAATTGAAAAACACTTAAACATTTTTCCATATAACTTAAAAAAGCATCTCAAGTACCAACAAGACACCAGAGGATGTGATTTGTTTCAGAAAGGTCCCCAAAACCAACATTGAAAAAATAATGATCTGGAAAAAAACCCTCCAGTTGGTTAGCAGACTCCACATAAGGCAAACTTCTCCCTAATTTAAATTGCGACACAGTCATATGACACGCGATGGAAACACAATCCGAGAACATTCCATTTTTTAATGGGATGCTGTATCTTTCCTCATAGGTTGATGTAAAGACCAAATAGGACTATGTACATTAAATTCTTACAAGTGTCTAACACATAATTCTTAAGAAAATCTTTATGATTTTCTGTTTGAATATGGCTATTATCCTTATGCTATACCACACTATAGCCCTCTACAGCCAATGGATATTAGCTCAGGCGAACAAAGAGTAATAAGAGACAAGGAAAAATATTCTAAGAGAAAAATGGGTAGGAGCTGAGAAGGGGTGGCGCGATACATATTTCTGAGCTCGCGGTGGAAGAGGTAAAGCAAGAGGTCAGCGAGTCCTAGGAAGGAAATCTTCAGAGAAGAGTGGGTTCTTCCGACCTCTTTGTGTCAAAAGTGACAGGAACTAAGAAACCAAAAGCGGAAATACAACAATGTGCCATCTACACGGGAGTCCTTGGACACGAACTTCCCGGAAGCAGAAAAGGTGTTGAGCTTCATCGTGAGGCAGCCGTGACCCGACAGCCCCGCGGAGCGGGCAGCTGGACACTGCCCTAACCGGGGAGCAGCTCGGCCAACAGCCGCCGGCCCCACCCGCGCCGCCCGTTACCATGGGGACTAATCAGCTGACCCCGCATCTGCGCCTGCGCGGGCGGAAGGCGGGGGCGGTGCCGTGACGCGCCTGGCGGGCGGGCCTCGGAGGCGCCGCTGTCGTTCCCGCGGCTCTCGGAAGTCGGTGCCGGGAACTGGAGGAGGCGGTGGCGCCGGCGTTGTGTGGGACCCTGTGGTGTAGGTGAGCCGCCCTGAAGGGAAGGAGGGACGCCCTTTAGGCGTCCCGGGCGCGGGCTCTGTGACGAGGTGTGAGGACCCGGGGCCTCAGGCGCTTAACGGAGAGCGTTCCGGTGCTACAAGCGGTGTTCGGGGCAGTGACGTTCCCTCGTCTGGGGTTCCGCACCCCTCTCTGCGCCCGGCCGGACCCGGGAGAAAAGTTTCGGGAGCGGCGCCCGCTGCGCACCTTGGCCCCGCGGGTTCGGGCTCCTGGCCGTGATTGAGTCGGGTTGGTACCCGCAGCCGGGCTGGGCGACGCCGGTGTCCCGTCGGGTGCTGAGACTCGGGGTCTGGATTCTTGTCCGTTCCTCTTCGACAGCCTCTCCAGAGGGTGGCGGAGAGCGAGCCGTGGCCACGGCGCCCTGGGCTCCGCATTCCCTGCTGTCCTTAATCACCTTTCTCGGCTGCTTAGTCGGACGCCCGGATTGGGGCGGAGGAGGGAGATGTTTGTTTAGCGGGCGAAGCCTGGACTTTTTTGAAGAGGGTGGGGGAGAGCTGGTTCACAGTGCGCTCGTTTACCGAGAAGTTGGAGCAAAAGGGGAAACGTTTCCAGCAGGGTGTGTTCAGAAGAAAATACCCCTGGAGACCTGATGACTCAGCTTTCGTTTCAGGATATCCTTCTAATAATGGGAAAGTGGAGGCACATGGTGATGGAAAGTTTTCAGTTTCACCAAAATGGGATTATTGAATCAGAGTGCCTTTTAATGTGTGAGGGTTTTTTTCCAACGAATCTCTAGGATTATTTAATTTGTTTATACATGGCCCGGTCCCCCCCCCCCCCGTTAAATCCTTTACTTGAAGGTATACTCGGCTTACCCAGTGTTATGTTAACCGCCACTTGATTCAGAGGGAAGACTGTTCATTAAAAAGAAAATCTACATTGAAAACAGTTGCAGTCCTTGTAAATTATTTTTTAAAAAGCAAATGTGGTGCCGGCCGTGATGGCGCAAGCACGTAATCCCACCTCTCGCTTAGAGTTCCAGGCCAGCCCGAACTTCATAGCGAGGTCCTGTCTGGGAAAAAAATAAAATAAAAAGAAATTTGTTTAGTGTTTTCAGTTTCCTGTTTGTTTTTTGCTTTGTTTTTTTGGTACCGGAGATCGAACTCGGGACCTTGAGCTTGCGAGGCAGGCGCCAGAACCACTGAGCTAAATCCCTGGCCCTTTCAGTTTCCTATTTGAGATTGAAGACAATCAAAAATATATTTTTCATCTTCTCTGGAAGATTCGTTATAAAACTTTTGTGCCTTAAATGGTACATATTGTTCTTTATAAATTGGCTCGTGCCACGAAATAAAAATAGGATAATTGTTTAAAAGCATCAGTAAACAGTCATTCTTTTCTAATCCACATTTAATTTTGGAAACTAAATTTTATGTTTTGAGGACTGTAAGGAATTTTATAAAATCAAATTAAAAAAAAGTCTGCTAGTGATTGAAAATGTATTTTGAATTCAACAGTTGCTTGAAATGAGCGTAACTCAGCTATTTTTTTCTTGATTTTGTCAGACTTTACTTTTTAAAGGTTAATGCCAAAAGCTTTTAAAAAGTAGACTCCCTCAAACAACTTTGAAGTACTTCCTATGTATAGTAATAATAATAATTGGCTTTTATTGACTGTCCAAGTATTGCCAATACTTTTTGGAAATTTACTTAGGTTTTTTTTTTTTTTTTTTAGGGTACCAGGGATCGAACTTGGATCCTTGTGCTTGTGAGGCAGGCGGCGGAATCACTGAGCTAAATCCCCAGCCTGAAATTTACTTAGGTTTTGTGGAGAAAATCAGCCACAGAAGATAATGAGTCACATGGCTCAAATTTTAAACAGAAACAAAGACATAGAGTATAAAACCTTCTAACTGTTACAGAATCTTCAGTTGTGTCCTCCAACCAGCTATATTATATTCTCTTTGATAGGTAGCCACAGTTTTAAGTTTTTTAACTACTGGGGGATGTTTTATGTCTATACAGGCAGATGGATAAATATTATTTTCCTCCTCTTAACACAATTATTTACATTCTTTATATACTGCTCTACCATATGCTTTTTACAGTTAGTCACAGTATTTTGGAGCTCTTTCAATAATCTATATGGAACTTTTTCTTATAAGTCTTTTGTTATTATTGTTATACTACAGTTAATAACTTTTCACATGTGTTGTTTTCTTCCTGCAAATATGTTTGTAGGCTAAAGACCTGAAGTGATGTTGCTGGGTCTGAGAGTGTATCAATTTACAATTTTGGTAAATACTGCAAACTCACTTTCCATATGAACTCTCACTAGTAATGTGTGACTGTTGCTCAAAGTTTTGCAGTCAGAGTGTTGTCAGATTTGATTTTTGCTAGTCCATTAGGTCAGAAGTGGAATCCCATAGGTAAGAAGAAATTGTTCTACTTGGAATAGACTTTGGTAGTATTTCTCAATGGCTAATCATCAGGATCGCTCAGGATATTTTTTATTGAGTTCCTACATCATCCCATAAAATCTATGTCAGCCTGGAGAACTTAGTAATTAGTGCCTCAGGTTATTCTGGTCTGATGATAGACAAGTTTGAGAAACAGTGCTTTGGAAGACTGGGACTCTAAAGAGTGTTACTTACCACCATATGTGAACCACCTGAAATCCTTATTAACCCTCAGTATATTGGAAAACATGGTCACTCTTTTACCGTATGGGTCCAGTGAATACTATTGTTTACATTTTTAGATCATTTTAGGAATAATTTGCAAAAATGAAAATGAAGAGATAGTGAAAAACAACTTTACTAGAAATTTTTAGAGCTGTTTCAACAGAAATCAAAATTATTTGATAATTTCCTGGCTTGAGTATGTGTGTATATGTATATGTGTGTATATATACATATCTGAAATGGCCAACATCTTTGATTTCAACTAATGAACCTAATACATGAAACTATCTTATAAGGATTCTTCCAGATTTCAAATATATCTCTAATATGTACCAACCCATCACTGCTTTTGGTTCTTCTTGTACTTGGGTTGTCAAAACGTAATACTGATTCCAGATTTCAAGTACATATCATATAGATTTTGCAATTACTATCTGGTAACTTTTGCACTTCATCATCAAAATGCAGTGCTTTTGAAGATGTTAATGGCTTATGATTTTGTAGAATATGATCATCTTTGTAGTGTACTTATAATTTTTCTTTATAATCAATGCACAGAATTTTAAAAACATTCTATATTTCTTTCCAATCACTTGTGTGTACCTATCTTCATTTGGCCTCTTACAAACCATACCAAGTCAATTTTGGTTCAGATAGAAAAGATGAAAGAAGATTGTAATGTTCTTTTAGTAAAACAGTGTGGTCCAGGGACTTCTCTCAAAGTATTGCATGATAAAGTTCTTCCTGTTGAATGACTACCTGAAAATCATGTTTCTTTTACTAATTAGAGATATATTGATTACTCATTGATTCTTAGAATTGAGGAATTTCAACTAGGATATCCTCATCTGAAAATTTATAATCTGAGATTTTGCTTATATGATCAGTTTTGTCGTTATATATAATATATACCTACCTCATCCTTGAGTTTTTTTCTCTTTGCTACTGTGGGTGAAGGGAAAAATTTCAGATTTTCTACAGTGTTCAGTGAAAGCTGAAAGTCTACAAAACTGTTATTTTCAGACATACTGTCTTCTTGAAAGGATACTTAGTTTGGGCAATACAAACTGAATGATGTGTAATATGATTTATTTCACTGTTGCATCATCATTGTGGGCAATTTTTTTTTAGCATAGTTTGGAATATGGAGTGAATAATGATGAAATCATTTGTAGATTGATAAAACAGCAAACGTTTTTGAAATGCAGGAAAAACAAGTTCACTAGGATCCTGCGACATACCTTACATGTATAAAAGGTTCTAGTGAACCTGTATGTTTGTGAGATAGAATAATTTTATTCTACTAGAAATGTTTTCCTCTTTTCTTTGAAAACTCTCTTAAGAAAAAGAGTCATAAACTAGAACTGCTCAAAGAAGAAACTCAGTAAGTAAAATTGGATTCATTTGACCCTGATTGTGTACAAAAGAATTAAAGGGCAAATTGCTAGACCTCACCTGGAGGCTTCTAGTCCCCAACTTGGGGCCTACTCTTTTTTAAAAGTTTCTGCTCCTAGGACTCAGGAATTTATACTACAGTACCAAGATTTCCCATTCTTATATATTTTACCCATAAACAACCACTGTTTCGGGAGCTTAAGTTAGTTTTTATTTTGTTACCATATGAAAGTACTTTAAGCTTTTGCTCTGTGCATTTCAATTGTTTTCTGAGCCAGTGTAAGATGTTTTGTACTGCCCCTCATTTTATAATTGAAACTAAGTTACTTTTTTTTAAATAAGTAGTTGGATATGCTACATTCATATGGGAATAATTTATGGGACTAGAATGTTCAAACCTCTTGTTGAAGTTAAGAGTATAATTTACGTGGTAGTAAGTATTTAAAAAACAAACATGCCCCAGACTTTTGCCTTACAGAAAAAAAATTTTGTTGGTGTTGATTAAATGTATCATACACTAAGCTTATACTCTGGAATGCAGCCTAAATTAATGGCAGAAGTGGGAGTAGGGCTTAGAGGTTTTTTGAGTCTTGCCACTGTATTTTTTTTTTTAAGATCATTGTTTCTGCAGTCCTGAACTTTTATCATCCCAAAATGTTTTTAAATAGATTAAAACAAGAAAACAGCTATTTTAGCTTAATCACATAGAATTTTTAAGAGATGCCAGTTGTAGTGTAGTGTAGAGGTTTGAGGAAAGGGTGATGTCAATGAGTATTACCATGCCAGGTAAGATTTTATTTGTGAAACTTTACCATTGTGTTTTGTTCTTCATTATTGAGAATATTGCCTCTAGAAAGGAAATTAACTAGGTAATTTGAGAATACCACATACTGTATTTGAGCCGTGGAGACCTTTGGTCTGTGTACATATTTAAAGACTAAGGAAGTAATCCTGATAGTGCTCTGAGGACACTGGGGGACAAATGGGAAACATGCTATAACAGAACAGTTTTTTTGTTGCTTTTTTGTTTTTCTTTTTGGATAGAAGGAAGTCTTTAGATGTTTGAAGAATGCCTGATACTACCACAATCACTGACAAATCTTTTAATAAAAACTAAGTTGGGGTTATTTCGTAAGGTCCAAAGATGCATGAGATTCAAGAGCCTTTCATAACACAGGAAGAGTATCAAGGTTTCAGGGTGTAGATTGGCTTATGATAGCTTGAGAGCACCAATTCTTGCCAGGGGTTAGTTAAGCCAATGAAAAATAGCTGTTCTGATCAGGAAGCTTGTGATCAAACTCTGGTAGATAACACGAGCTTTTGCCTGCTGATCTCAGGAACAGTGAGAGCTGTATCTTCTTTTTGATTGCTAGTTCAGTGATGGCAAATCTTTTAGAGGTTTCAGTGATACAGACGGCCCACAGCAGTACGTGTGTGGTAGGTTCACCACCACTGGCTCAGCTGAAAGGAAGGCCTAGAAACAAAGTTCTTTAGTTGGTACAGTCATAGTACTTGATAGAAACTGAGAGTAGGGCCGGGGATTTAGCTCCGTGGTTCCAGCGCCTGCCTCACAAGCGCAAGGTCCTGAGTTCGATCCCCAGTACCAAAAAAAAAAAAGAAAGAAATTGAGAGTGAGACAAAATGAGAATTCTTCACTGAAATAATATTTTTAGAATCCTCTGAAATCTCATTGGTTAGGGTAAAATTCCAGTCATAATTGGAAGGAATTCGCTAAGGTAGCTTTTTGTGGTCTTTGAAAAAGGGCCATTTCTGACAGTTCAAGTCAGATCAAAGATGCAGTGTACAGGTGCTGTGCAGCCTTTGTGGCCTCCAGGTACTTGGGAGATCTGTAGAAATGGGGGAAGTGATCCACGACAGGATGCTGTTATTTGATCTTGGAGTGTAACCCTGATTCCCGTGGAATGACTTGATTCATGGATACTTAATAAATGATTTATCACAGAAGTTGTAATTAACATGTTTATTGTTTGAAAGGGATACTTTTGCTTTTGCTATTGAGGTATGAAAGATAATACAGTTCTGCTGGGTTTTTGAAATACTATTTTCTCATTTAAAACTAAACGTATAACTTCCAGAAAGGCCTGCTAAAGGAGGCATTTTTTTTTTTTTTGAAAGGTCCAGTTGTTCCTGGGAAGCCTGCCCTGCAAGTATCCCAGCCTGCTTGTACTAGTCATGGGAAGAGTTTTTACACTGAGAGAAGTTAAGAGAGCACTGGAAAGCTGGGGATGCACAGAGAAATAGTTGGGATTGTCATGGTAGGGGAAAGTGTTGCTCTTTCTGAGACTGTGATTGTTATTTTACTGGGCTGTTTCTAGCCTGTCAAATCAAGTGACTTTATTCTAAACAAGTATTACAGTGGGGAGAAAGTAGCAGATATAAGATCTGTGAGCATGTCAAAGATGAGGCAAAAGAGGGTGGGATTCCCAAGGGAGGCCCAAATGAAAGCAGAAAGAGGGTGGAGAGTGCCAAAGTCAGACTCCACATAGAGCCTGTCTCACCATGAAATCAGCCTGATCTTGGATCATAAGGAAGGACTATATTTTGGTTCTGAGGCCCAGAGGAAAGAGAAATTTATGTTTAGTTAACGAGTATTTTATTTGGATTACAGAGGGAAAAACTATTCTGCGAATTGTTTATGAGGTGAAAATAGGAATTTTCAAGATGAGAGTCTGGCTTTGTTATAGGTTAAAAAGGAGGGCTGTAATCTCAGTTTCAGCAGGAAGGGGGTTTCTGTAGTAAGCCAAACTGGGAAAACACAAGGTGGAGGGGTCTTTAATCATAGCTACTTTTCAGGATTCCCCACCTAAGCAGTCCTTGGCCCTTGCCTTGACTTTTTTCATTTGGATGTTCCTGAGTTGTATCGTTTATAATAAACTGGAAAGGGTAAAGCGTTTTGCTGAAGTATGTGAGTAGTTCTATGAACTTATTGAATTTGAGAAGGGGGTTATGGGATCCCTTGATTTATAGACAGTTGTTCAGAGGTATTGATAGCCCTCCAGTGTTTATGACTGGCACCTCTAAAGTGGGGGTAGTGTTGTAGGACTGAACCCTGAACTTTTGGGGTCTGTAGTAACTTGGGATGGGTAACAATTGAATTGTTGAATACTCATTTGGCATTGGATAATCCGTTGATATTTAAAAAATACCACACATTTGGTGTAAGTCCTGATTCTGTTATTCTTTATCATCTATTTCTTTTCAAGAATTTTGCTTGGTTTTGCCTGTTGAGTTTTCAGTAAAACTGAAACTCTTACCATTAGTATTATGCTTTGGTGGTTTCTGTGCCTCAGTCTAATGCACGTATGTGATTTTCTGAAGCCGAGGTTCACCCAGTTGACTCACCCATTCCACTTTTTATGGGACTTAGCTCTAAATTTTTCTTATGACATTGAAAAGAAAACTCTTACTTTGTCTCTAAGGGCTAACCTTTCATAAATTTTTTTACACAATTGGAGGAAAATTTGCTGTATTGTAGATTATGAATTAAATTCACATTTACTAGGAAATGCCATTGTAATGTGTAGATTAACAGTCTGAACATTTGTGTGTGTTTATTCCATTTAATTATTTGTCTTTATTTCCATGTGATTATATATTTTTACTGAGTACCATTGGCATTGAGCATTTTTCCTGTGGGCATTCATTTAAGTAGTTTTCAGTTATTTTCTTATGTTTATTCATATGTCTGTTTAAGGCTTTCACCTTCATTTTTTTCCCAATATACTCTGCGCCTTAATCCACGTTTGAATTGTAAAGGTGGCAATTATTTTCTCCTAGATTGTGTTTTATCTTTATTTTATTCCTACAATTTCATGGAGACTTTAATTTTTGTTGTTGTTGGTTTTGTTTTGTTTTTTATTTTTCTGGGTTTTTTTAGATGAGGTCTCACTATGTAGTTCAAGCTAACCTTGAACTCACTAGGTAGCCCAGCTGGCCTTGAACTCATGGCAGTCTTCTGCCTCAGCCTCCCTGGGATTACAGGCATGTACTAACATGCCTGGCGGACTTTAATTTTAGTAGAAATTGAATTTCAGGCTTTAAAAAATAACATGCAGGTGAGTTACCTAGAACCTTTGAGCAAAAATACAAGCATTTATTTTGGGAGGCTTTTTGTACTTTTAGTTTCAAAATTCTAGACGTGCTTTTACAGAATTTTGACCATATCAATGAATATATCATGATATCTTGTTTACTGATATATTGACAATAATTTTCAAAATATTTAACAAACATTTCATATCTTTGAAGATAAGCTTTTGTGCTTCATTCATAAATCAAGGGTTGGAGACACAGTGTAATTAACAGCAATGTAAGTTAAGAGTAACCCACTGAGTTGAGAGGAATAATTTCAGGTTGAAGTCATGAAAGACTGAAAAAGTGGGCTAAGCTTCAAAGCTGACTAAGATTTTGATAGTGGAAAAGTCATGGAAGAACATTCCAGGAAGAGAAGGCATCTTTTCCAAAGATGCAGTCACAGAAGCACATGACCTGGCTGGCAAACAGAAAGTAGTTTATAGCTAGAATATTTTAATGCTTAGAAACAAATTGGATGAAATGAGGTTAAAAAAGTAAAATCATTGAGAAGTGCATTGTGTTTGAGAAGAATAGTGAGAATTAAGGTCAACAATATTTAAACCAAACCTAGGGTTTTGTTTTTTTTTTTTTTACAAAAGTATAAATTAGGGCAATATTATCTTACAAAAATTGTGAAACTCCATTTCTCTTCTAGGCCTGATTTGGTGGGTATTTCTAATTTGAGAGTTGTTCAAACTATTGCAATTAATATTTTTTTGAAGAGAAAGTTCTCTGGAGGGAAAAAGTTAGGAAATTACTCATTAAATTGGTCCAGTTTATTTTTCATGAAGACCATAGGATCTTGTGGTTAGAACCAAAAAAATAAAAACAGTACTAAAGTATACCAGGCAACATTTTTTTCAGTGTATTTTAGTTGTTGATGTTCCACCCTGTTTTGTATTTTGTTTATGATATATCCATTTTGTTGTATTAGTAAACTGGTTGAAAGTTTCAAGTAAAAATTTGTGTTTAAGGGAAAGGCTGCTAGGAAATTGAGACTTTGACCACAAAGTACTATAATCACCTCTGCTCTCCTGGATTAATACAGTTAAGTCATATTTGATTGTACCCTCATATGAATTTTTATTTTATTCATAAATTTACATCTTATTTTTCCTTTACTGCATTAAGCGGCTTCTTTTAGCATTGTACTGGATATCATAGCCAGGGAAATTAGGCAGCAGGATGAAGGTGGGTGATGTCAGCAAGAAAGCAGCATAGGAATTCCAAACCCTCCTTCTCCTCAGAGAGGTACAGGTTCAATAATTCACACATTAATTCTCTTTGTGAGAAATCTAGAAACTAGTTAAGAGGCTCCTATTCCCTAGGCCAGTGATGGCAAACCTTTTAAGAGTTTTCAGTGATACAAATAGCCTGCTGTAGCACACATGCCATAGGTTTGCCACGGCTACCCTAGGCAGTTATTAAACAAGGTTCTTTAAAGCTGGTAGGAAAATTCATGCCAGTTGCTCACTATAGACCATCCTCAGCTGAGCATGGTATGAGCAGGAGGAAACTTCTGGCTCCTGACTTCTCCCTGAGAATGGAGAGGGAAGGCTGAAACATATCGCACAGGTTTTTCAGAGGTCTGCCCTCAACTTTAAGGTGTCTGTTGTACCTGAACATAAGCACTAACAGAAAGGGGTACAGCCTTGGAGGTACTGAAAACAGGTGACAGTTTCACATAGCACTCATATACCACCACCACCACTCCCCATCAGCCCGGAATTGGCGGGAGAAAAACCCCACCCTGGAGAGGGAAATTGGAGTTGAAGTATGTCTAATATGTTAACTTTTTACCAGGCTGCTCAAAGGACTGGTTATTGTCTTCCCAGTTTTGGAGCCCTGGCGGAAGCCAGCCTACTGTCCACTATTGCAGTCTTTCAGTGGGTTGCCGGAGAGACTGATTCCTGTTTTGGAGTACAGATGATGAGAGCCAGCATATAGTAGATTCCTGATAGTTGCTGAGAACAAAGGAGAGCTCAATCACCTGCTGCTGCTTTATTAGAAGGGCCCATGTTAAGTAGACAAAAGCTAATACAGTTTGATTTCTCTCCCTAGGTATGGGATACAAGGGGGAGAGAAGAGTGGGGTGTGCTAAGGGGAGAGAATAAAATAATTCCAGCTCTTTGAAGAGATGCACAAAGAGTTCGTTTCTGTCTCGCCTGTCTTGGAGTACAGCAAATAGTGGACATACTCTAGAAGGGGGCCTCTGAAAACAAGAGAGCACTGGCAGCAGCTTCAGATAACCAAAAGGACTACCTAAAAGACTTAACAGCAAAAGACTAAGATCAGTAAAAAGAGAAAGCTATGAATCTTTCTAAAAATTTACATTCAGAAAAAAGATGATTTACACAAGAGATTCAACAAGTACCTGAAATCTAGGATAATGAGTGATCTTTCCCTGTACAGAACCTGTCTGGGAGAGGTCATTGTTTTTACAAAAACTTTATTTAGATCTGAACGTAAAACTGAAAAGAACACAAGGAAACAGTAAAGAAACAAAATATTCAGGAAACAACCCTAAAGTAACATTTACATGAATTGCCTCACAAATAATTTAGAAAAACCATCATATAAGATGCTCAGTGATCTCAGGAAAATGGTGCATGAACAAAGTGATATTATCAACAAAGACAAAAAAAGAACCAGTTAAATTTTGGAGCTGAGGAATGCAATAACTAAATTGAAAGATTTACTAGAGGGATTTCACAGCAAGCTTGTTTAGTAAAAGACGGAATCAGTGAACTCAAAGGCAGGTGATTTGAAATTATCTAGTCAGCATTAATAGAATAAAAATGTAAAGGCAGCCTAGCATACTAATGAGACATCAAATCGACCAGCACACTTGTTATGAAAGTTTCAGAAAGAGTAAAGAGAAAGAGGCAGACAATTTATTTGAAGATAGACTGTTATGAACAAAATCAGGAGAGAGAAATGGGCATGCAGATTCAAGAAGCTCAGGAGAAATCTAAAGATTGGAAAAAGTCAAAGATAATTTTGAGAGCCGTAAGAAAAGAGCAATTCATCGTGTATAAGGGAACCTCAATAAACAGATTTCTTAAAAATCTTACAGGCCAAAAAAAGGAGTGTGATTCCAAGAGTTGAAAAACAAATAAACAAAACAAAAACTTCCAGCAAAATGTTAAACCTGGTAAAACTTCTTCACAAATGAAACAGCAGTACTTTCCCAGAAAAACAAAGTTAAAAGACTATCATCAGTAGATCTGTTTCACAGTAAGTGCTGAAAGGAACCAAGTTGAAACTAAAGCACAGTGACACAAAAGCACAGGAAAGTATAAGGCTCACTGATAAATGTATAGACAGAATAGTATATAAACACTTATTTCTGATGTGTAAGTCAAAGACAAAAGCGTAAGTACTGATAACTAAAATATTGTTAATGGGTATACAGTATAATGTAAAAGAGATCACTTGTGACATCAAAAGGTATAGGGAATGCTAAGGAGAAAGAGATCTGTATGTATTTAAAGTTACCAGCTTAAAACATTGCTGCAGCTGTCAGATATTTTATTTAAGCCCCGGAGTAAACACAAAGATATAACTGTTAACTGAGGATGGGGAGAGGATGCCCACGTACAGGAAAAGATGTCTAAAGTCCTTAGTCTTAGGGAAGTGCAACTCAAACTACAAAGAGATGCTGCTTCACACCCACAAGTGTGGTTTTAATCAAAACCTCAGACTATAACAGTATTGAAGACATGGAGAAATTGGAGCTCTGATATGGTGGAATGAGTGCAGTCCCTTTGGAAATGAGCTTGCCAGTTCCTCACAAAGTTACAGTAACCATACGACCCAGCAGTTACAGTCTTTGCTGTATACCAAAAGAATTACAGATACATTTTTACACAAAACCTTTTATAAGCTTATATATTGTTTACTAGTACTGCAAATGTTTATTAGTATTATTAGAAACATCATTCAACAATAGCCAAAAAGCACAAATAACTCAAATGCATAAACGATTTATATACACAGTGGATTCAGCAATGTAAAGGACTGATACATGCCACAACGTGGGTGAACCTTAAAAATATTATGCTGTTTATAAGAAGCCAGATACAAAAGACCGTAAATTCTGCGGTCCTAGATAAAATGCCCAGAATAGGTAAATCCAGAGGTAGGAAGGTTATGTGTGGTTGCCTCGAGCTGGAGGCTGGGTAGAATGGGGAGGCATGAGATTTCTTTTTGAGAGAATTGGACGTATTCCAGTAATAAGTGGTGGGGATATCTGCACAAAATGAATATTCTAAAACATTGAATTATATAGTTTAGTAGACTGAATGATATCAGTTTAAAAAATTAGCATTTACTGTGCGTTCAGAAGACCAAAGCCATAGTGATTTTAACAATGTTAATTTAATATAAATTTTATTAACTTTAACCTGATTGAAGAAACAGTGATTAGCTAGTAAGGAGTAAAGACCTTTAAAGAATATAAGGACAGATTAAATAAGTAGTCACAAATTCTAGAACCAAGGTAGAGCACCCTAGGAAACTTCTCACCTGGGGTTTTGGTTTAGGCCTTGTGGGAGAGGGGGCCAGATAGTGGATACTGTTGGAACACGCTGGAAGTTTCCACTCTGGAATTCCTTGCAAAGCCCACATGAAAGGGTACTTGAGAAGGCTGCTTGGGAGGAGATAACCTTGCTGGTGGTGCATTCTGCTGTGCTTAGAATCTCCTCCCTGTAGAATGTGAGATGCTAGAGAAGCAGTTACTAGAGAAGCTAGAGAATTGCTAGAGAAGCAGTTACTGCAGGAGCCTGGTTGGAGTAGTACACTGGAGTCAGGAAGAAATAAAACCCTTTTCTTCTTCAGTGTACCTCTTAACTGCTCCTGCTGACATAGCTTGACATCGTGCCCATTGGCAAAGAACAGTCTTAAAAGGCTCAAAAAGGTCTTAAAAGGCTTTTGGAGAGCAGGCAGTAAGGGGTGGATTTGTAACTGGGAATTTGATAGCTGGCTAAAGTATTTATGTGAGACCCTAAACCATTTTAGGATATATTCTGTTTTGTTGGGTTAAGTGAAAAGTATTCATTTGCACAATAGCTAACAAAATTTAATGTATTCAGGTCATATTTTTAGAGAACAATTGTTGCAAAAAGGAGTTGGTAATTAAAGTACATGGAACAATAAATGAAGGCAAAAACTTCCCTCTTTCCCTTAGCATCTGTCTCTTGAAGATAAAAATATTAACTAAAAATGTATGGTAAACAGTATATTGTTTTTCTATATTACTGCCTGTATATGTTTTTCAGTGATAGAGGTTTTATATACAGGTACTGCTGATGATTTGCTTTTAGGTTTTGCTGCTAGAAGAAAATAATATCTGTGCAGTCCAAGAACATTGTACTAAAGCTAGTCTCTTAAGGTAGTGTTTCATTCCCAAATACTGGTATAAACTAGGTGTTCTTTAAAATTTTTTTTTGTTTTTCTTCATTTGTTTCCCTGTATATTTTTTGTTAGTGCATATTAATTATAAAATGGTTAGATTTCATGTTGTTTGGTTTTCTAAACTTGTCAAATGAAGGGACTTTTACTTAAAGGTCGATTAAAAATATGTCCTTATAATTGTGAACAACCCTTAAATATCAGTTAACAATTTCTTAACTGATGGCCTGGATTTTACTATTTTTTTCCATATGTAGCAATTTAAATGTTATTGGTGTTAAACAGTTGTACATATTTATATGTATGTTGTTGTCAATGCATACTACATAAATTTCTGTGACATTTGCATAATATAATTTTTTTTCCTTTTAGGAAAATCTTGCAGAAATGTCTCTCTACCCATCGCTTGAAGATTTGAAGGTAGACAAAGTAATTCAGGTTTGTTTACATGATTTTTAAAAAATATACTGTGACATACATTCATTCTACTTTGTGAATGTGAAGCAAGAAATTTAACTAGCAGATACATTTATTCAATTTTACAACTCATAAACCTTTTGTTGTACACTAAAAAGGAAAACTAGTAACTTTTTAATTTCATTTTGAATTAATACACATGGAGTATTCTTTAAAATTTCACTTAAACTCTTCGAAGATTTTTTCTGATTAAAACAAATTACATACAACATATTTAAGTTGATAAAATATAATTCAATCTTTTAGATACTTGTGGTTTTGTATAAAATTGATACATTCTTTTTGATATTTCGATACAGTGAGTCTTTATAGGGAAGCTAAAAAGTACAAAAATAGGAATAATGGAGTAGACAGTATTAAAAGAGCAGTAGTATAAAAGCACAAGGAAAGGATCTCTCTCCTTTTAGAGGTAAGCAGCAGAGACATTCCACTTGTTCATGCTCTCAGTGACTATATTAGAGACGATAGTATTTCTAGTCACATTACATCAAAAATATCTATAATCCTTTTGTATTATCAGCTTCATAGACTCATGCTTCTGTTTAAGAAGAAAATGTGGAGTTGAGATCAGTTATTGCAATTTTTGAAATGTATAGTAATATTTTTAAATGGAGACAATTTGTAGTATATCATGAACCCATCTGTTTACAGTTTGCTTTCACTCAATATCTTATAAACTCAGAATCTCTTTGGTTCTGATTTATTCAAACTCTATACTTCTTTATACTCCAAATAATTTTTTGAATTGTTTATTCAAAATTCCTTGTCCTAAAAAGCATTTTGCTTGAGGCCCTGACCTCAGTATACTCTAAAGTGAGATTTATTTCTTTAGTTAATTAATAAGGAGAAAAAGGTCATTATAAACATAGGAAAAGTCTTAAGTAACCTGAAGAATGTGTTTTAAGCAAAAGATTGGCCTTACTGGGATGAAAGGAAAAAAGAAAATGCTAAGAGTAGGATATGTGTAGTTGGAATTATTAAACTTTTAGTGGATGGGCAAATTGGTATATGGAGGGAATCATGGACAGTATTTTCCATCAAAGTCCAGGAGGGATATTAAAATGTGGTTTGTAAAATATCTATAGTTCAGCTGCCAAGGCCTTGATATTTCTAAGTTTTAAGTAACTTGTTCACTTGTTTTAAGTGTTCTATCACTATCTTTCTTTTTTGTATTCTGTCAGTGTATTTTTCATGTGGTTTTTATTTCCATAGTTCATTTAAACAAGCATTCTTTCTTTTTAAAAAGCTCTTATATGATGTAGTGTTCCAGAGTAATCATTGAGCCATTAATATGACATCAGTACATTGTCTGATAAGGATCTGCAGACTGATTTGAAAGAATGACTAATATATTCTCTGTTTTCACTTTTGTAGCTTTTTATGGAGTTGAATTTAAATTAACCACAGTTGGCTTTGAGCAGAGGTTTTTGATATTTGAAAATAGCAGAAAAAAATTGATACTGACAAATGTTGAGTTGAAAAATATAAGAAGGCTACAATGTACATCAGACTGAATTATTATTTTTTTTTTTTTTAAGAGGGGAAGGGGTTTATTTGGCTTACAGTTCATAGAGGTTTCAGTCCATAATCAGCTGGCTCCGAGGCTGGAGTGGCCAAGAAGCATCACAGAACAGACATAGTGTACACAAGGCAGCAAGGGTAATCGGAGTGTTATCAGCATCTTTCTGCCCCTTTTATCTTATAGGGCGGTGCCAAACTAATTGCTCCCATGGAGTGGTTTAGTAATCCCACGCCCTTAACCCCAGCATCACAGTTTCCAGATCAAACTACCTCTGAAAAAGAAAGTTCCACCTCACTGGCATGAGGCTTTGGGGGGAACATCTAACTACAAACCCTAACATTCTGCCCCTGGCTCCCCAAAGACTCATGCATGTCCCTTTGTGCAAAAAAGCATTGAGTCCGTCTCCAAGAGTTGCCAAAGTCCTAACAGTTTCAGCACTGCTGAAAAGCCCAAGTCCCAAGTCCCCTCTGAGATGTGAGGCAAACTCCAGGTGCAAGCTCCTGTACCAATGAAAAGAACGTCAAACACTCCCAACATTCAGCGGCACAAGACAGACGTTACCACTCCAAAAGGCACAACTAGGGGCATGCAAAGGAACGGGACCACGGCAAGTCCGGAATCCAGCGGGGCAAACATTAAGTCCCACAGCTCCTCTTCCTGCATCCCAGACAATCTGTGGGGAGCTGTGAACTCCAAGTGGGTTGGGTGGCTCCGCCCCTGTGGCGCTCAGGGTTGTTCCAGTTCCCCTGGCTTCTCTCTTGCGCTGGCTCTGCTCCCTCCTTGCAGTTTTCCTCAAATGATTCACACTCCTGGCTTCTCCAAATGTCTGGGATCTCCATTGCACCTTTGGCTTCCCAGATTCACACACGGCCTTCTCAGGAGCACCCTGCCTGGCCCCCCAGGCCTTCTGGGAAATCTGGGTGGAAGCCTCCCAGAACCTACAACTCTTCCTTTCTGCATGCTCCTAAAACTAGCACTGTGTGGATGATACCAAGGTCTGCTGCCAGCTGGAGCAGTAGCCGGGCTTCTTTCTCTCTTGGCTTTAAGGGTTGAGTGCCTGAACCACTGAGCACTCTGAACCCAACCCTGAGAAACAAATTCCCTAAGCTGCCATTTTGGAAGAACTTCCTTAGGCTGCCATTTTGGAACAACTTTCCTAGGTCGCTGCCATTCTGAACCATGGTGCTCTGGGGCTTTCTTTTCAAAGCAAAGCTTTCACCTTTACAATTCTGAGACTGCAAAGGGTGGAGTCCTTCTGGTTCCTGTGATGCCCTCAGGCCATCTCTTCTATACTGTTCCTTCTCAGCAATCAAGAGCTCCTCTGCTCTATCTTTGCAGTCCACCGCTTTACTGGAGCTTCCTTTCTTGTCAAACTCAAAACATTTTAAATCAGTATGCTTGGCTCTTCGATCTTGATTCTCAATATAGATCTGGCTGAAAGCCCCCAACAGTAGCCGTACTACTGCCTCAATATTCAACTGCCTTGAAATTTCTTCTGCAAGATTAATTCCACTGCCCCGAATCTCAGTCTCAGGCTAAGTCTCTGGACACAAAATGCAGACAAACTTTTTGCCAAGCCATAACACACATTGTCTGGAGTCCAACAGCCAGTACAGTCCTTCCCAACAGAAACCCCCAGAGCCTGGTCTTTACTGGCCTTCTGGTCTTCTGAGCTCTGACCAGAATCTTCCATACAAAACAGCCTAAGGTGTTCCAGTGCTGCCTCCATAGCCAACATCTCCGGATCTTTCCTAACTCTTCCCCTTCCCACAAGGCAGTTCCAAAGCCTTTTGAGCCACTTGGCCAGGTAATGTTACAGCAGTGACCCCACTTTTCTGGTACCAAATTTCTGTGTTTGTTACTTTTCTCTCATTGCCGAGACAAAATACCCATCCCTCAAAGTTAGAGGGGAAGGGGCTTATTTGGCTTACAGTTAGTAGAGGTTTCAGTCCATAATCAGCTGGCTCCAAGGTGGCAGGGCAAAGAAGCATCACAGAACAGAAACAACATGGTGCACACAAGGCAGCAAGGGTAACAACCATCAGACTGAATTCTTTCAGGAGAAGCAAATTACATAGATAATATTCATTAGAGGATTGTTTATGTTCAGAACAGAAAGCTAGCTGCAGGGTAATAGAACAGAAACAAGGGAAACCTGATGCTTTTATTCCCACTAGCTTTAACAAGTATTCCTAATCTAGCCACTACAGTGTTGGCTTGTATTTTTTTGCTTCATTCTCTTAAGATGGATAATACTTATATTTGGTTTTTGGTTTTTGTGATGTCCCTGAAAAGGTATTACAGAGGAATATAGTATTCATTTTTCTTACTACTGGCCTTTTATACCCCCACAGCAAAGCTAAATTGCAACAGTGAACTGGCAGTTCGTATTTTGCAAACTATTTTACAGTAGCTATTAAGCTGTGGCTTTTAGCATCATATAATAATGAACCGCTCCAGTTCAAATCAAACCACAGGTTCCTGTACTTAAAAAAAACCTTTTAAGAAATAGTGCTAGAATCTAGGTGCTCACTTACATAGTAACTCTGACCAGAGATCACCGAAGTAACTCCCCAAACATGATTTCTCCAGGTGCTTTCTGTAAGTGATAGAAACAGGGTTTGGCAGTAATTTCCTGTTCTTTGAGGCATCCTCTCCCCACCTTTTAAATGGTTTTGGATTTCAAAGTAAGCTTGAAATAATCTGCCACATTTAATGGTTTACAACCCTTAAACCCTTATTATATCTTTTGTCTTATTTTTACTTCAGATACATGATTAACCTTATGTAACTTTGTAGAGAGCTTTCTATATATGTGTCGTCTTTGCATAAGTATTAATAAAAGAAGAGAAAATAAAAAGCAGAATTTTTTATATTAATAGGACATATTTTAGAGCAATTATAGTTCATAATGACGTTGAGCAGGAAGCATATTATCCCACTGTCCCCACACTTAAGTATAAACCTCTTCACTGAATATCTGATCTGTACCAGAGTGGTACATTTGTTAATAGTTGATGAACATCACCCAGAGTCCACAGTGTACATTATGGTTCACTGTGTGCTGTATGTTCTGTAGGCTTGGACAAAAGTATGACACGTACATGTCATTACCATCTTATACAGCATAGTTTCACTGCCATAAAATTCTCTCTTCTGGGTACTAGGGATGTAGTTCAGTCGGTAGAGCTCTCAGTCAGTGGCTGGGCCCTGGGTTCTGTTCCCAGCACTGTAAACAAGCAAGTATTGTACACCTCTGTGTTGAGACTGCTTAATCTTTCTTTTCCCTACAACCTCTGGCCGCTAACCCTATAGTCTTTTTACTGTCTCTACAGTTTTGCCTTTTCCAGAATGTCATATAGTTGGAATCATAGAGCATGTAGCCTCTTGACATTGGCTTCTTATATTTAGTAATAATGCAGTTAAGTTTCCTTTATGTCTCTGTTTGTTTGTTTGTTTGAAACAAGGTCTCACTGTGTAGTTAGTCCAGGCTGGCCTTACCTTACTGTATAGTTCAAACTGGCCTTGAACTCATAGTGATCTTCTGGCTCAGCCTCCCAAGTGTTGGGATTACAGGCATGCGCCACCACACCTGGCATCATGTCTTTTCATGGCTGGATAGCTCATTTCTTTTTAGGGCTCAACAGTTTTGTTTTTTTCTTAGAGATGATTTAAGAAAAAAATCTTAACTGGCTACTAGCTCTTTTAGTTGTTAGCTGGTAAAAGAACTTTCAGTGTTCACTCTGAATTTGTAGGTTGTTATTTACAATTATGAGGATTTTCATGATGCCTTTTGAGAATGCTATAAAATATTAAGGGTGACTCAATAACAAGTACAGAAGAGAAGAACATTTACAGTCCAAATGAGCTAATACCATTCATTTTCTTAGGCTGTAATACTTTTAAGTTAAGCTTCCTTCTCTCTTTGAAAGTATTTTGGCATTGATTTCAGAGCTAGGTTGAGATATAAGCATAAAATTTCTTAATTTGACCAATTTTTAAATAATGATTAGAGATTGGTCATTAAACTTATTACTAAATTTTTCTTTAAAATCACATACTTATTTCAGAAAGTTTATCTGTAAAGGACAAAATATTTCCATCGGTGTGATATTTAACATGACTTATGCTGTGAAACCTGACAGACGAAGCTATCTGAATGTGGGTAGTGCTGATACATATTTACTTGTCAAAGTAATTTTGACACATTTTATAGTCCAAGTTATATTATCTTTTTTTTGGTACCAGGGATTGAACTCGGTTCCTTGTGCTTGCGTAGCAGGCGGCGAAACCACTGTCAGTTTTTAATGTCAGTGATAGAGTGTGCTTTTGGCATGGTTTATAATTAATTCCTTCTCATACTTGGTAAATAAAGATTATTTTAGGGAGACATGCTAAAATGGTAAAGCAATTTATGAATTTTAGCTTTTTTGCTTATATGTAGCTTTTTGTATGAATATGTTTGAGCTTTTTTCCTTATGTAAATGTTTTTATTTGGGCTAATCAAAAGAAGAAAATATAAAATGTGTCACCATTCAATTTAGAATGCTCTTTGAGAATACTTATTAATTTGGAGCAGCTTTATTAAATGCTGTCATAAAATATTGTGGAGTGGTGCTTATTCAAATTTATGATAGTCTTCAAATTTTGTAGAATATGAAATATACTTTTTGATTTGCAGATTTCCTTTGAAAAGTTTATTGTTAAAGTGTTTAAATAAAACTTTCTTGAATAATACATCAGGTTTTAGTTTCTTTTTGGAAGTATTGGATTTAACTTGTAAATTATATTAGAATACTAAGTATTTATAGCATGTTAGAATTTTCTTTTCTTATTTTAGGCTCAAACTGCCTTTTCTGCAAACCCTGCCAACCCAGCAATTTTGTCAGAAGCTTCTGCCTCCATCTCACAAGATGGAAGTAAGTTCATGTTCATACTTTGGGTCTATTCTCCAGAACAGAAATATTGGTTGTGTCTTCTTTTGCTGAAATAGAAAATCCAAGATTCTTTTTTTTTTTTGGAGACACTGTAATAAAATAGTGGCTAATGATCCTAGTAGCAATAGGGAAAAATGATTATTTGAAAAATAATCCTTTATTTAATCAAGAGAGTAAACTGTGAATGCAAAGTGTTTATGGTTAATGAAAATTGAGTTGAGCCTCTTAGGTCCCCAACACAAGACTGCTTCATTTGTGCACAGCCTGACCTGAGCATTAGGTTCCCACACTGCTGACCTGAGCTTCCTATGTAGACTTCTTGACTCTTCCAGGGGAACTTCTGAAATTCTCAAACCACTTTTTGGGGAAACTTCTCAAGTCCGGGAGTCCCTTTTCCTTCAAGGTTCAAAGAGATTCTGATCAGAACCTCAAAATAACAGGACTTTTAAAGATGCATAGTTAATGTTAAATCTGTTTTTATGGCCTGTCACCTTGTTTTACAGCTATTACAATGTTCCTTTTAGAAAATAATTTAAGTCACAAACATCATAGAAAAAGCTTTTAGAAATAGTCGTAACTACTTAACAATTAAATACATACTGTTCATCTCTAAAAAGAATGTTTCTAAGATTTCATTCAAATATGGCTTTCTTTTTCCTTTTTCTGGAGGTGGAGGCACGTACTAAGAATTGAATTCATAGAGTTCTGAGCTACATCCCCAGCCCTTTTTACTTTTTATTTTGAGACAGGGTCTCACTGAGTAGCCCAGGCTGGCCTCAAACTTGTGATCATCTTCCTCAGCCTCCTGATTAGCTGAGATTACAGGCATGTACCACCATGCCTGGCTACGTTAACTTTCATAGAACAGAAAAGACAAGATACTTTTATTTGGAAAAATTAATTCTACTTTTGAGTAGTTGGCCCTCTGTGTCCATGGGTTCCATGGATTCAACCAACTGCACAGTGAAAATAGAATAAAAATTGTATTTGTACTAAACATGTACAGTTTTTTCTTGTCCTTGTTCTCTAAACAATATAACAATTATTTACATGCCATTTGGATTATATTAAGTATAATTAGCAATCCAGCGGTAATTTAAAGTCCACAAGAAGTTGTGAACAGGTTTTATGAAGATATTGTGCCATTTTATATAAGGAACCTGAGCATAGGCAAGTTTGGGGATCTGTGGTGGATCCTGAAACCAGTCCCCCAGGGATTCCAAGGGATTACTGTTTTAGAAATCTGAGATTGTTTCAAATCAGTGTTCATATTTTGTGACTTTTACCTTAAACAATTTCTATATTTTCATTTCTGAATGTTAAATAGATGGGGAGGTGCTCTTCTAAATTTGTTTTAAATTATTCTACTTTTTAAAACTTAAATGTGATTTTTTTAAAAAAAAAAAAAAGTAGAAGCCATAATAGTTTTCATTTTGAGTATTTTTCCAGTGCCTTTTTCTTCATTCATTCATTTTAGATCTCTATCCCAAACTGTATCCTGAGCTTTCTCAATACATGGGCCTGAGTTTAAATGAAGAAGAAGTACGTGCCATGGTCTCTGGAGCACCAACTCAGGGGGTATGTATAGTGTAATTAATTTTGAATTAAAAATCACATTTCATACATAGTTTTAAGCAGTCTTCTTTGTAGCCTAATTCACAACCTTGTAACTTTAAATTTAACCTCTCAGATTTTAGATTTCTTCTGGATATTATTTCTTAAGTTATCTAGTTACGTTTGTGGTGATACCACTCTTTGAATTTATTAGGACTTAGATTCCTTTTTCTAGTCCATTCTATTCTTGGTCATCTTCATTTAATCAGTTACAGAGACCTAGTGATTCTATTTCTATCATTTTTCTTGTGTTCATTTTATCTATTTCAGTCATACTGTATTGTACTGAGTTTCTCTGCTTCTAATATAGATTTTTAAAGTGATGTTTGGTATTTTCTGTAATTTGTTGTTTCAAACAGTATTAAACTGCTGCTAGAGTAATCATTTTGAGTACAGATCTGTCATATAATTTCTTTACTCATAATCTTTTAACTGTTTTCTCTGAAGTCGAGAGCTGCTTGTGATCAGACTCCAGATAATCTAGACTTAAATATAGAAAACTTTCATTAAAAGCATTTCAATAAAGCATACCTTTCATTAAAAGTCATTGCTATAAGAGCATAGCACTTTATGGCACTTTACTGTAATTGAAATTAAATACTTCTTACAGAATCCATGTCCATTTTCTTGCCATAACTCCTTTGCTTAATGCAGTACCTTGCATTTATTTTTTTTACCAAGTATTTACTGAAAACTTGATTGTATCAGTGAGTGTCCATTTAGGAAAACAAGTCATAATAGAGTGGACCCCTGATTTATGAACTCGATCAGTTCCAGAGGGCTGGTTCTAACTCAAGTTTTTTGTAAGTCAGTACAGGTGAAATCTGGATGTTTACTTGGGTACATGCTGTAGATAACAAGAGGCAGATGAATCTTCTATTAACCTAATTAACGCAAGTTGTTCATATGTCAGGTCAGTCGTAACTTAAGGGTCCACTGTATTAAGCAAGCCAGTTACCCTGTATATAAATGAAATGCTCTCACTCTTTCTCTAGAAAGGGCTAATACTAGTTAGCCCTCTGACTGATACTCTTTGACCAGTGGTTATGATATTGCTTACTATGTGGTATTAGTCACCCCTCTGTATGCATTCCTATTCCCAGTTTAATATTTTTATCTTTTTAAATTTTAATATAAGTAGATATTAATAAAAATATATAAAAGCCATTCTATAAAAAAATAATTTTTCATAACAAATTATTAGAGAATAACCATGGTACATATACCATGTATCATTGTCTTAAAAATATATATATTTTCATTTACTAACCTCTCAACTTATTTCCTAATAATGCTATACCTTATTTTTTGCATAAAACATTTTAAGTATTGACAAAATATCTCACATTCTTTATAATTTTGAACAATTTATTCCTATTTCACAATATTATTTTTTTGGGTCCTTATTTTCACTTTCAATTTCTCACACCAGAGAGACAACACGATATTTACACATGTGTGTTTGATTTATTTCACTTGAGTATGCTCTCAAGGTGCATCCATTTACCTAGAAATGTCTCATTTATCCTTTATGGCTGAATAGTACTCCATTCTATAAATCAACCAACAACAAATGCTGGCGGGGCTGTGAGAAAAAAGGAGCCCTGCTCCACTGTTGGTGGAGGGTAGATTGGTGCAACTGCTGTGGAAATCAGTGTGGAGATTCCTCATAAAACTAGGACTGGAAGTCCCATCTGACCCAGCTATTCCCCTCCTGGGTATCTTCCCAAAAGAATTAAAAGCATCATACCACAGTGATCTAATGGGCACTCATGTTTATAACAGCACAGTTTGTAATAGCTAAATCTTGGAAACAGCCCATTGCCCATCAACTGATGAATGGATAAGAAAGATGTGGGTTTTTTTATATAATATTTTTATCTTACAGACAAATGTAAAGTTAACTAACAATTCATATATAAAAGTAAAAGATATGAAGGAACAAGATGATTGTTATATTTACAGAAAATTTATAAATGTAAGCAGAGAAGATAGTCATACTTACATTCTTGTATTATGATCATGAGATCCTAGCTAATATTTATGATTTCTTTGTTTACTATACATATTTATTGTTTCCTTTGCCCTTAAGCAACAGTTCAACTGGTCTCCCCCACCCCCTTAATACCTAGTAGATAACCTAAACATTCATTTTGAAGTATCTACATCTCTATAGTTCTTCAAAGCTTTTTCTTTTTCTTTCTTTTTTTAAATATTTGTTGGTATAGATTTATTCTACCTAGTGAATTTTCCATTTCACATATTGTATTTTTCTTTCCTTGGTGTTTCATTTTTTTCCCTTCCCACCTACTTTATTGAGATGTAATTGGCAAATTAAAATTGTGTGTTTTCAAGGTATATAGGATGTGTATGTTGTAAAATGATAACATAATGAAGCTAATGAACACATCCATCGCCTCACATTTTTGGTTTATGGTGAGAACACATTAAATTTTATTCTCAACAAATTTTAAGTATCCAATACAGTGTTATTAAATGGTCACCGTGCTATACATTAAATCCTCAGATCTTAACTCATTTCATAACTGGAAGTCTGTACACTTTAACCAGCATTTCCCTATTCAATCCCCTGCCCTCCTTTGGTCCCTGAAAACTACCTTTCCAATTTCTGCTTCGGTGAGTTTGACATTTTTAGATTTCATATATAGTGAGATCAGACTGTGTGTAGTAGTTGTCTGAGACTAGCTCATTTCACTTAACTTAAATGTCCAGAGTCATCCACATTGTCTAAAATAGCTGGATCTCTTTTTTTATGCTTGAATAATAATTTGTTATGTGTATATACCACATTTTCTTTATCCATTCCTCAGTGGCTGTTTCTTTCCAAGTCTTGGCTGTTGTAAATGCTGCAATGAATGTGGGAATGCAGATACCATCTTCTGGAAATAGTGATTTTACTTCCTTTAAACATATACTCAGATGTGGAATTGTATGGTAGTTACACTTTCCATTTTTTGAGGTTCCTTTATATTGTTTCTCCATAATGGTTGTACTAATTTACATTGCCACTACCAGGTGCAAGGGTTCCCTCTATATACACTCATCAACGTTTTTTTTATGATAATTTTCCTAACAGATATGAGGTGGTATTTTATTTTGTGGCTTTGATTTGCATTTTCCTGATGAGTGATTTTGAGTATCTGATTGTATGTCTTCTTTAAGTGTTTAGGTCTTTTGCTGCTTTAAATTGGGTTACTTTTTTTGCTGTTAAGCTCCATGCATTTCTTTATATGTTGAATATTTGTTAATAAATGGTTATAAATGGTTTAAAATTTTCTTCCATTCTGTATTTTTTTTTCATTTTGTTGATTCCTTCCTCTTCTGTGAAGCAGCTTTTTAGTTCCATGCCCCACTTGTTTATTTTTGATGTTTTTGGTGTCATATTCAAAAAAATCATTTGTCAGGATCAGTGTCAAGCTGGGTGCAGTTGGCCTATGCCTGTAATCCCAGCTACACAGGCGACTTAGGCAGGAGTATTACCTTGTCTCTAAATAAAATGAAAAAGTATGATAGGGCTGTAGTTTAGTGCATGCTGGTAAGTTCAGAGTATCAAAAAAAAAGGGGAAGGAAAAGAACAATAACCAAAAAAGATCAACATCAGGGAGTTTTATTGTTTTTTATAGTTCCAGGCCTCACAATTAAGTCTTTAATCTTTCTAGAGTTCATCTGTAACTGTAGTGTACAATAAACTTCAGTTTAACTCTTTTGTATATGATCTCCAGTTTTCCCGGACCATTTATTGGCGAGATCATCCTTTCCCTATCATAAGGCTAGGGTATTTTCATTCCTAAAAACTTGTGTCCACTCTTTGGGTATTCAACAGGCATTCTCCCCTCTGGTTGGTAGGTGCTTTAGTGTCCCTCATAGGGGGACCCCAGTGCAGATTTCTGGAGCTCTTTCTCCTCACCAGATATAGACATGTAAATTCTAGTTGCCTCAGTGCCCTTTGACCTTACTTCTCATGTATCAGTCTCCTATGCTCATCAAGAGCCTTGGGCTGTACTTAGGGTTACTGTGTAATAAATCATTCTGGATTTGTGTTCTGATTGTGTGTGTGTGTGTGTGTGTGTGTGTGTGTGTGTTAAGACTGTCAGCTTTAAAATATTTACATTTTGGAATTTATAATTCTGAAGCACAGAAGTAAAACTAATTCATTCAAATTTTGTTCTTGTCCCATTGCCTGATTTCTTATGTCTTGCAGCTGTAGTTATTTCTTTTGAACCCTTATAATCCTTCATAAGTAATTTCTTCTGGCATGGTATTGTACTTTCAGTATAGTAATTTCTGTTTGTGTGGATGTGTTTATTACTCCTGGTAAATTGTCAGCTTTAAATATGCTTTGAGGATTTCTGTGAATTATGAGTAAGTTTTCAGTCTGATGTTTTTGTCCCTGGGTTCTTTCCTGTCACTGGTTCTCTGAGTATCACAATTCTTAGCAGCTCAGGGCTTTTCTCTTTCTGTGACAGATTTGAAGTCAGAACCCTTGGTAGATTCTTCCCTCACTGTTGCTTTGGTTGGGAAAAGACAAGCAGAACACTTACAAAATTAGAAACTTGAAACATGGTACTTGACACAAAGCCCTAGCATAGCTATTATTCTGATCACAGCTAGTTGGAGTCCTACATGCCTCACTTACCTGTATGTCAAATTCTTTTCCCCTGCTTGGGAAGTTTTCTGCCATTACTTCTGTGAAGTTTTTTTTTAATGTCATTTACACTATCTCCTGTGTCTTCATTGACTCTGATCAGTCTGCTATTCTTCTTTGCATCATCTAGCAATTGCTATTTTTAAGAAATCTTTCTTTTCCTGTTCACTAATTGCAATCCTGTCTTCTATATCTGGTATTTTGTCCTCACGTCCGCTTATTCTATGTAAACTTTCAATGGAGTTTTTAATCTCCTGGGTATCTGTTTGCGTCTGTTTTATGAATTCCATTTATTTGCTATGCTGGGATTCGATGATGTTCCTCAGGTCCTGTTATTTTTATTGGTGTCTGCTCTAGAGTTATTAATCATGTCTTTCACTGTGGACACTTCTCTGTTATCTGAGAAATTATTTCTGATTTTATTTTTTCCCAGATCCTCTTTCGTTGCCAGTTCAGGGAGTCCAGCTGGTTGAGTTTCAGATTGTTCCATCTCCTTGCCCCTTGGGGTTGCCTTAGGTGATCTGGAAGTCTGGTTTTGAATCTTGTTTAGATGTCTTTTCATTTCAACCAATGCAGTCTGCTATGCATTTATTGAGGTGACTCTTTGGTCTCCCAGTGGGCTTCAATTCTTAACAAGCATCAGAGAGGCCTCTCTGCTGCTCACCACTGGGCCAATTCCTGGATTCAGAATGATGGCCTCCTGGATCTCCACTGGGCTGTTGTCTGGGCAGGCTTCTTTCTGGCTGGGGCCTGCGTGCCCAAGCCGCTGGTGTCCCGGCTGCGCCCTGGCTGGGGTCTTGCATAGCTATTAATTATTCTAAGGCAGTCTGGCTTATGCATTCAATTTGTTAATTCATATTAAAGGGGGGGGAGATATACTATTTGACTATATTACATGTGCTAGGACCTATATAACATGCAATTTGCTTTTAATCCTCGCAATAACACTGTGAGGTAACAGTGTTGCTCCTTTTCCAGCAATTTTGAATAGATTTGTCAAAGATTATGCCCCATAAAAACCTTCTGGAAAATTTGTTTCAAAAGGATGGTATGACCTTTAAGTGCAAAGATAATACATTTGAGATAGTCATGTGTTGCTTAGAGTCAGGAATATATTTTGACAGATGATTCATTAGTAGATTTCATCATTGTGCACACATCATAGTGTATTCTTACACAGATGGCCATGACATCATTAGGTAATACATAAGGGACCACTGTCATCAATGTGGTTATGTTGGTGAGTGAAATGCTGCTTTGCAACAAGTGATGGTACACATGAAACAAATGTCAGTAATTCAAAAGACAATAGAGGGTAAATTATTGAATCTGTGGAGATGATGTGGGAATGAATTATAGAAGAATGAGTAAAGTGTCATTTTTGCAGACTTCAAACTGTATTTGAAGGAAATTATATGTGGGTTAACTTTTGGAGATCCATAATTCAGTGTGTTCTGGTTAATCATCTCAGATTTTTTTCCAGTATTGACACATTGTTTTTGTCAGCAATTGGTAGCAAGACCTTCCAGTATGAACTACATGGTGGCCCCAGTAACAGGCAATGACGTTGGAATTCGTAGAGCAGAAATAAAACAAGGGATTCGTGAAGTCATTTTGTGTAAGGATCAAGATGGAAAAATTGGGCTCAGGCTTAAATCAGTAGATAATGTAAGTATTTGAAGTATCTTTGAGTTTATCTTTGAATAGCCTACTGTGTATTTTGTCTACTGTTAGAATAACTTGAAATGAAAATGCTTTAATTGTAATGGTGCATGTAGAATTAAGAATATCCCAAATCTGTTAATTTAGGTTTGCTCTCTTGGAGATGCCCTATTTTGAAGAAGCATAATTAGAACTTCTGACTGCATTACTTCGAATGATTTTTTTTCCTTTTTGAGTACTTTAACTGAAATTAAAGTTCACCATTCTTACATAAAGTGATGTACACATACATTGTAGTTTATATAATAAAATCCTGGCATTGAAATAGGGCAGTATATGTGCAAGTTAAGAACTGAACAGTGAGAATGGAATTGTGTGTAGTTTGAAGCCACATTATGATTAATTTGTGAGATGGTCTGAACAAGTTTCTAATTAGGGCAGCCATTAATTTACCATATCAGTATTACTTTACCTTAATAACTTACACTTTACCTCTTACCTTAGTATACTGAAGACATGAAAACAGGGTTACTCTGGGAAGAACATTTAGAATTGTTCAGGATGTGCTGGGATTGTTTCAGTCTTAAGTCTTATTAACACAGTGAGTTGTCCAGCCTTTCCACATACAGAGTAAGTGTGGTGTGCTGCTGTAACGGGATGCAACTGAGTTTGGCAGGAAGCCCCAACCTTGTCTGTCCACTCAGCAAACAGAGGCTCTTAATCTTTGCATACTCATAGTGTAGTTAGGTTAACCTGCTTGGTTTGGAAGTCCTGTCTGAAGTGCTCCTTCTCCCTTACTGCTGTCCCTTTTGCCAGGATTTTTTTTTCTATTCTTTCCTCCACCCTAAAAAGACATTCTTTGTCGCCCCTTCACCCCATCGTATTTATCCCTCAGTGAGTTTGTCCATTTGGCGAAAGCCCATTGGTTCATTTGTCGTGGTGCTGCCAGGTTCTCACCACCTTAACAGACCCATGTCAGAAGTCATGTTTGACCCAGCTTACTTTTAACGATTATAGAAGAGGTCTCCCTTGTCAGTGTATGTCCCCAGTTTTACTCTTATATTTATTTGGTTCAACGTCTTGAGAATTTCCAGAAAAATATCTTGTGAATTTAGTTCCTTTAGTGTTTGAGTTTTCCAGACTTATTTCATTGTAGATTCTTTATTGAGAGCTTATGTGATAGTTAACATGCTTATCATTTAAGTCTGTTAAACAATAAATACTTGATCATGTATAATTTATCACATAGGTTAAGGAATCTTTTATCTCAAAGGGCAGAACCATGGCCTTAAACCTGTCATTTTTAATGCTGTAAAAGAGCTCACCTAAATTCTGACTGTTGACTTTCTTCCGAAGTAATGATCATGTGCTAATATCTGTTGGCATTCTTTCAGACTCAGCTTTATTAAAGCTGTCCCACTTTATTTACCTAGGTCTTTTTTTGAGGGGGAGGCGGGGTACTGGAGATTGAACACAGGACCTTGCACTGTGAGGCAGGCGCAGCACCACTGAGCTAAATCCCCAGCCCTTACCTAAGTCTTTTTATTGTGAGGTGATTGAGTGAGATTGGTCAGGTAGGTCATAATTTGGGGTAGAAAATTTCTTTTCTTTTTCAAGGGAGAGGGAATTACCTTGGTAAATTTTTAGGTTTTTAGGGGGTAATTTGACAAATTGTACTCATGAAGTATTTTTTTCTTGGTTACTAAGATAGATTTCTAAACTCATCAGTTGTTTTCCTGTTTTGCAGCACTTTTTAAGTGTATCTTAACAGTGGTAAAGACAAACGACCAATAATTTTCTTATCACCTAGGGTATATTTGTTCAGCTAGTTCAGGCCAATTCTCCAGCTTCATTGGTTGGTCTGAGATTTGGGGATCAGGTCCTCCAGATCAATGGTGAGAACTGTGCAGGCTGGAGTTCTGATAAAGCACACAAGGTGCTCAAACAAGCTTTTGGAGAGAAGATTACCATGACCATTCGTGACAGGTAAGCTGTTATTGAAAAATTAGAATGGAAATTCTAGGCTAGTTTTCTATTTTCTTGGGCTTACAGTATTCTGTGGATATAGTATTTTGTTGTAGAAAATGATCAAATGTTACTAGTGAGCCTTACAGTCTTGCAGTTGTGTGCTACAGATTTTTCTTAGTTTGAGTTTTTAAAATATAATTCTGATTATACATGTAAATAATATTTCAGAGATTACAGTAATTAGTCCTTTAGGTGCTTTTCTGCCTGTATCACTCTAGAAAATAGAAATATCTCAGAGAACAAAGTAGCTGCGGGGTCCTACTTTTAAGAGCTGGAGCCCATCATGAAGTTTAGTTTTGAAAACCAAATACGTAAGTTTGGCGGTTATGAAACTAGTTAGAAAGAAGATTAAATTTTCTCTACCAGTTGGTTCATTTGTAACTTTTAAACATTTCCAAGAGTAAGTTGGACCAACAGAAGATGCGACTGTTCTGAATTTTACACAGGTTGATTCTCAAACCCTTATGATACTATGACACATTGAGTTGAAGATAAGTGATCCAGTGTAACTGATGTGGTGTTGGTTGTTGTTTTACAGTAGGAATGTATCTTCCTTTCCAAGTGGGGCTTGAGAAACTGCTTCTACAGTTCTACTTAATGGGGGGAGGACACCTTCTATAAATTTTTAAATCAAGATGTGAGAAATACTATAAAGGTTTTAAGTTTAAAAACTATTCTAAGAACAGTTAGGCTCCAGGAAACACTAAAAGTTAATAAAAATTCAATTTTACTTCTGTGGTTTAGTTCAAAACCTATCTCATTGTTAATGCAAAAGAATGGTGAATTTTAAAAGAAAAAGCCTATCAATAAACTGCATGAAAAATTATGTTCAGCTGTCTCTGATGATTAAAGGAAATCTTGATTAGTTGGTCAAATCATATTTGAGAAAATATTTTGCACAAAGACATTCTGTGTATGCACAATAACAGCTATAAGTTATTAAATATTTTACAAAGTCTTAAATCTGGCAGAATTTATGGTTTATAAAGTCCACAGAAATGATAACCTTGGAATTAAAATTTAAATTGGACCTCATGTTTACAGGCCCTTTGAGCGGACAATTACCATGCACAAGGATAGTACTGGACATGTTGGTTTTATCTTTAAAAATGGAAAAATAACATCCATAGTAAAAGATAGTTCTGCTGCCAGAAATGGTCTTCCCACTGAACATAACATCTGTGAAATCAACGGACAGAATGTCATTGGATTGAAGGTAAGGAAAAGACCTTGTGCCTGGTTGTACTGTGAATTTTATTTTAGAAAATGTCTTCTTTGACCATTTAGGTGGTGCTGTTTTCATACTGACCTACAGAATATGGAAACTTGGTAGAAAATGAGAGGATGCTATCTGGAATTCTTCCTTCTATAGCAAGGAAGTTGGACTAAGTGACCTCTAAAGTCCTTTAAGCTAGAATTCTCTGTAAACATGAGCAGTGAAAATGTTGATGACATTGTGAATAAATGGTTGTCCAACTTTTTCAGTCCAGGAATGTAGGAAATGAGTAATAATTTTGGATCACACTAGTTCTATATTTTTCTAATTTTCCTCTATAAATTCTTAAATCTACCGTAAGGTCTATAGGTTTTAAGACTTATTTCATAAACTTTAGAAAACATAGTTAACAGGATATATTTTATTGTACATGGGGAAAACCATTCACTCTTAGTAGTGAACTGATTGGGTCTAGTACATTCAGCTTGAGTTACTTAGTACTTTTCTAAATAGCTGTAAAATTGTATTCTGTAGAATTAAACTTGATAAGGAAAAGTAGAATGAAATGGGAACTACCAAGGTTCGGAATTTTGGAGACTTAATAGCAAAACAATGACATGTATAGTGTATACTTCTTTACCAAGAGTAAGGGTTTTATGTTTATTAAATAAAACTTCAGTGAAATTCATTTTCATTATTGTTTTCATCAGGATTCTCAAATAGCAGACATACTTTCAACATCTGGGACTGTAGTTACCATAACAATCATGCCTGCTTTTATCTTTGAACATATTATTAAACGGTAAGTTTTTTTGTGTGTGTGTTTTTTTTGGTACCGGGGATCGAACTTGGGTCCTTGCGCTTGCGCAGCAGGCAGCAAAACCACTGAGCTAAATCCCCGGCCCTAAACGGCAAGTTTTTCAACTTATTGTATATGGTCATCTGACTTAATTTAAGCACTATACTTTCCTCTAATTCCCATATTTTTTTACTTAAGGAATGATGCTGGTATTTATCTAGAAATTTTAAATAAATTAAAATTTAAATCGGGGATTTGATCAGAAAGGATGACCCCTCACAACTTTCCAAGTATGAGATAAAAGTCAGCATATCATTGCTAAATTTTGACAATGCCTAGTTTTTAAAAATTTTAAAAAGGTGGCATAGTTGCAGTTTGCAGTACAACTGAGTACAGACTGCAGTTGCCCTCTGCCCACACTTCATCTGTTTAATAGAAAACTATTCACAGTGGTTCGTGATGGAGAATTGTTCCCTGTAGGATGTTGAGAAAACATTCTCTGTCCTCTCCAGCATCTGGAGAAGCAGGAAGGGGTATGTGATGGTGCAGTCTTCCCTCAGGACTGTGGATTGAAAACCTGAGTGAAGAGAATTGAAGGCCAGCATGGGTTACTTTCTCTAGTGTTTTAAATTCTATCAAAGCCGTTTTTGCCAAGTTAACTTGGATTCTTTCAGACTCTATCATGGGTATGGAAATGAAATTCAAAAGTCCTAACAGCCCTTACAGTGGAATGTTTGTCTGTGTTGGCTTTTGGGTCAAACACAGCTAACTACTCTGGAAGAAGAAAAAAACATAATAGTCAAAACTGATTGTTCCAGGGTTTCCTTTTTTTAAACCACTGGATAGATATGGGCCCCGTCCCATTTTTTTCTCTACTCATCATGGCCTTGTCCTTTTTTTTTTAAGCCACCAACTTCAGTATACGAGGCCTTACTTATATCCTGTCTAATTTGCCTAGTCATGATACAGATAGCCTTTCACATTGAGTATTTGCCAGTAAAGAGACTGCCAAAGACTGACCATCATATCTGAACTCATGAAAAGACCATTCCCTTTTTCCCCCAATCTCGTAGGTGCCTGTGGGTGTTAAGCTGGAATTGGAGTTTTCTTGGAATAACGTAGCATTTTTGAAAAAAACTTAATGTATAATGAAAGTAACTCTCTTGTAGGATGGCACCAAGCATTATGAAAAACCTGATGGATCACACCATTCCTGAGGTTTAAAAGTCTTGGCACAAGAAACAGCTGAACTTCTCCAGTTCCCTTCTTTGGCAACTTCTGCATTATGCACATGGAGCTTTCCTAGAGCCAGGGAACATATGCTGCATGAGGATCTATCTTACATCATGGCTGGGAATCTTAACTATTTCATCTGATACCTTCTTCAGATTTCAAGATAGTTGTAGCCTTATCCTGGTTTTACACATGTGAAACTTTCAGAAGATTTACTGACTTTCCTAAGATAGTTTCTCTACTGGAAACCTGATGCTTTTATAAACCATTGTGATTAGGATGATGGATGCAGGTTTAACTTTGCGTGAGAACCAGTCATATTTCTCTTAGGTAATGTATAGTGCTGTTCATATTCAGTTCTGTGGTATCTCTGCATTTTTAACACTTACCATGGTATATTTAGTATGACTGCCTCTAATATTTTTAAGTTCTCTTGTGTGTAAAACACCAATTAAGTTACACTGGTTTCATTCCACATAAGCATTATACAGTGTATGCAGGCTGCAAGAGATTATGATGATTGTGTTTAAATTTTAACCACTTTCACTTAATATGCTTGACTGTCGCCTTAACTATGCTAAGCATCTAGAATAAAAGCCAAAATATAATTATTGCTGCCTTTCTAAAGCCCAGAATATAGTTCTGTATTAAACTGAAATGTACACTAGCCCAGAGCAGTTTACTGATACTTACTGAGCTATAACATAGCTGCTTATAGTTGAGATTTTCTAGTCATTACATAGTGGAAAATTCTTAAGTTGCCAGTGTCCCAAATCACTATATATTTCATGTGAAAACTCTTACAGTAGATAGGGTAAACTCTGCACTCTTTCTCATTTGTAGATTAAGTAGGATAACACTTAATTTTGGGTTTGAATTTTAACCTGTAGGCTAGCTACTTTGGGATGGCCTTAGAATGTTCTCCTGTTAATTTCTTACTGATTCCTCCCTGCAAAAAAAAAATGACAGTGACAGTTTGTCCTGACTTTTTTTTTCATTTTGTTTTACGCTATCCAATTAAACATGTAAAAATGAAATTTAAATTTTAGTCTGGTTATTATTGGGGAACTTCATCCGTTACCAAACTTGTACATGACCTTAAGGATGGGCATGTGAAAAACAGTCCTCCCTGAGAAGAGCCCCCAGACAGATCTGGCTGGCAGGCCCAGATTACTGGGCCTGTGGGCCTGGTTCACCCTGTGCACTTTAGATCACACAGCAGGAACTCGGTGAGGCTCTTGACTCCACCAACACTACTGACCACGTATTTAATGATAAAACTGACCTGAAAAACTTCTGTAACCTCAGACTGATCAGATTTGTTCTCTTATGTCATTCTGCCTGCAAGATAAAACAGTGCTTTTAAAGCATATAGCAAAAGGTTAAATATGAGAGAAATTCAGTGCTTCCGCAGTATACTGTGCCTTGTTTGAAATTTAACATTTCCCAGTTTGACTAGCTACCTTGGTATTTGGACTTGGGTCTGAAAGACAAAAACTATATTCCTATCACTAAGTATGGTTTCCTAGAAGGACCAATACTTGTGACTCTTAAAAAAGTTACTACTAGTCTTTGTTATACATTTTTTAAGAAAATGAAAATGGTTTTTATTATAGAAAAATATTTTAATGTAAAAAAGATGAGCATTTAATAGCTTAATGAAATACAAACTGTTCCTATGCCCAGGACCTTCACTGTTATAAGAACTGCTAATCCTTCCCCAGGTTCTTAGAATCTGGGTACAGCATTATGTAAAGTATCCACTCCATGAAAACACATACCTAAAAACCAAGTGGCAGCAACTGGTAAATTAGGGAAGACAGGAGGGACCCAAGCAGCAGAGGATACTGCACATTTTCTTGGAAAATTCTAAACTCTTCTCTGCTTTCCAGTGTTTCAGTGTCCCTCAGTCCAGGTTAGTATCTCCTCTTAGCTTCTCTTTGCTACGCAGTCCTGTCTTCCAGCCATCACCACATTGTGATGATTATCTGCCTTGCAAATGTAACATTTTCTCCCTAACACTGCCATGTTTTATCTGCTTTAGAAGATGGCAACTAATGGCTTTCAATGAAATCACCATGATTTAAAACCACACATTTTTCATGTGGTAAAACTTCTAATTACTATCATTGCACATTCACCAGTTCACTTAAAAGTTTGGTTTAAAAATACATTATAATAGAGTCAAAAGAAGAAAAGGCACTTAATACTGCAATTTCCAGAACATAATCTGTCTGTCTTCCCCGCCTGTGATGACACTGCTACACTGTTCATTCATCCATATGCATGTCACAGCACCTAAGAAAAAGACACTTTGGTTAGATAGAGCATTGACCAGGAGATAGCTAAAGATACACTTAAATGCGCTACCTCATTCACAAAGAAAAAGTGAGTTGTACTTTGTCATGTCTCTATGATAAAATCCTTGATAAATTAAGAATAACTGCTTGGGCTGGGGCGGGTGTGGTGGTAGTATACACCTGTGATCCCAACATTCAGGAGGCTAAGGCAGGAGGATCACCCCAACTTTGAGACCCTGGGCTACACAGCAAGACCTTGTCTCAAAAAACCAGCCCCCTCCTACACACACACACACACACATGCACACACACACACACAAGTAGAAAGAACTTGTGAGGAATAAACCATTTGGATGTTAAGCTAAATTAACCAGATTTATGGGTACAGAACAAACTGTAAACATATATCTTGGCGAAATAGTATAATACAACAGAAGTCAGAAGACAGATGGCAAAGAAAAGATGACCAATTGGGTAAATTTGCTGATTTATTTTTCCGCTGGAAGAAGTGCTAATTAGAGCTGGTAAGGCTATTAGGCTGAGGGATAAAGGAATAGGTACATAATTTTATAAATATAAGAAGAAATAACCATATGAAACTTGACTGTGAAGAGAATGAAGGTGGGAAGTTAGCTCACAGTAAGAAGTCAACAGAAGTAACAAACTAGAAGAAAAATCTCCAGATGATTTGGAGGTAAGCATGCAAATATAAGCTAATAGAGTATAGTGAATTTCCAAAAGATACTTTAAAAAAAGGTTGCAGAAGAGCTTGGTATTGTGCCAGTTTATACACATTCACTTGTTAACAGAAAACATCCCTAAGACACACTGGAGAATATCCTCTTAGGAGGACTGGGACCTGAGCAGTGTGACAGTGGTAGGAAGCTTTAGTTCATATTGTATTCATCACTTTTGTATTGTATTTTTTTGTGTGTGCATTATTTTTAAAAACCAATTCTACAACTTTACTATGGTTTTTAATTCTCCATATTAAAGTTAACTTAAAGACTGCCTTTTTTGGAGTCAAATGTACATCAGCATAACTCTAAACGGAGAGTCTTTAGAGTCACAGATCGCCAGGCAACCATACCACCCACTCACAGAAATGCTCACAGCATGGAGAACACCCAGGGCCTTTTCTCCCAGGGCAGAGCATGTCCCTAATGGGCTAGGCAGGCAGGCCTGAGTTCAGGATCTCAGGAACAAAGCCTAAAACACCTGTGGAAACTGCTTACCGCTGTGGCCCTGTATTCTCTCACTGATTTTTGCTCCAAGGAGGTCCCAGACCAGCAGCTCACCAGATTCACTTCCAGACAGAACAGAATTTCCGTCCCAGATGAAGCACCTGCAAGAATGATTTGGAAATAGGGGCATATTACGGTGGCCAAATCTTCCCCAGGGAAACGACCGTGACAGTGTTGGCAGATGTGTGCATGGCTACACAGTAACTGTACCTCTGGGGCTGGTCTGATGCCATGGAGGAGATGTGCATTCCTGTCTGCACATCGATGACATTCAGACAGCCGTCCACCCCTGTGCTGAGAATGTGGCGACTATCTGCAAGACAAGGCAGTGGTTTCAGAATGTGGTTTAGATTCTGTATTACAAAAGTTCATTCCTTTTTTTGTTTTTTGAGACAGAGTCGTGCTTATGTAGTTCAAGCTGGCCTTGAATGAATTACGTAGCCCAGGTTGGCCTCGAACTTTCAGCAATCCTCTTGCCTCAGGCTCCTGAGTGCTGGGATTACAGGTGTGTGCCACCACGCCAGGTTCAAAATTTCATTTTTGCATCAGTGGCCTGCTTATTTTCCTCGAGCTTCTTAAACAGTATTTTGTCCTTGAAATGGCTTTTACCTGTCTCTGAGACACTGGGATGAGATGACCCTTCAGTATGAGTTAATTTACATCTTATACATTAATTTCTCTAATAAGAGAAAGTAAGAACAGACAATTCTGCTTTTCTCCTACGTGCCAGTGCTACAGATATAGTATATCCTGGCATCAATCCTCTTACAACCACAGGCAGAACCTTTATCACCAATAATGTTTTTTCTTTTAAAGTTTTGTTTGTTTCACAACTGTAATTTACCTGGCATCCTGTGTATGAGAAAGGATAACACACCTGGGCTGAAAGCAGTAGCACATACAGCCCCCGAATGGCATGGGATCTGGTGCAGTAAGGTGGCTGTAGTGAGGTCCCAAATAGTCACCATGCCTTCTTTGGTGCCTGAAGCCAGCAGTGTGCTTGCTGCATTTAAATTGATTGTATCTACCTAAGGAAGAAAAGAGCAATAAATACTCCACTTAATCTTGACACTAACTCATATGTGTGGTCACAATGATGCACTCTGCACTGTACCATGCAGTGTGTGGGTGTCGCCTATACAAAATCAACAGTATCCTACTGAATGATCATTTATTTTAAAATGAAGCAAATACACATAGAAATGAAAATGTACTGCTGGGGAAATTGTAATGCTGTTTTCAAAGAGCCATCTACTGACGGTCCCAGAAAGATGATTCCATGAGTCATGGCCAAACTCACAAAGCCGATCCACTACCATGTGAGGGGTGGCGGAGCAGGGGATCTCTCCATGAGACTACACTTGGATACCATCTTGAATTACATTCTAAATATTTCTGAACCTCAGTTAATTTGAAGACCATGAAAATTAGGCATCAATTCACAACCTCAGGGAAAAAACAGTACCATGAACTATAGCCTTAATATGCAGTATTGTGAGCAAAGAAAACAATGGGGGAGAACTAAGCTCCTTTTTGGCTCTTGCATCAGGCTGTGTATACTCAGCCATCCTAGACAGATGTCCCTTCCACTTTCAGGGTCAGGAAATATGAAAAGACAAGTTTCATCTTCAAAGAGACATTTTGGAAATTGAGATTGGTAGAAGTTAATTCCTGGAAAATTTGCAAAGAAACAAATCGGAGGGAAAACAGTATAGACTTGAAACCTAAACACTCAAGTGCAGCTTTCTGCAGTCTTGTTGCTGGTACTCACACTGACATCATGTTCTAGCTCAGCCAGCAAATCAAACTGCTGTCTTTTGGTGCCGGACATTTCTGCAGGGACACCAGACCACACCTAAGAGAGAACACATTGAAGAAGGTATTTTCAAACTTGCAATACAAAATCATTTCCAATGCCTTTAGAAAAAACTCTTGACAAACTTCCATTTAACATGCTTTCCAATAAAGTGAGGCTGCTAACAGTCCCGCTTCACCTCCCCAGTGCCTGCACATTTTCCCCAGCAGCATGTGCTTGCTTACACTTGACTTTTGTGCCCGTGTCTGTCGGTAACACTTGCTGCTGTAACTATGTGATCAGAGTAGTACACACATTAAGGAAATACGAATGCAGAAGTACTGCAATGTCTATTAATATTTTGATAAGACTCAAAAAGGAAGTCGTTAAACAATTACTAAAATTAGGTAGAGGCAAGTAAGCATATCTAAAAGAATAGAGGGAAAAGTCTTGAAAAATTTCTAACAAAATTCTAATAGTTTTAGTGCTTTCTTCTATATAAGTGCAAGTTGGAAATAGTCTAGGATGAAGAATATTTATGTGGGAAATTTGTGGAGGATTCTAAGTAAAAGACTTGCATAGTCCTACATCAAAAGAATGGTGAAAGAATATGCATTTGTATGATTCAAACTTAATAAAGTGAATCTTCCAATAATCTTTCACTTTCACTTGAAACTGTATGATAAACTGATCCACTATTTCCAGTCATTAACATAAGAGGGATTGCTACAACGCTGTTAACCAAATTAATGTGAGATCTCTTAACTCCTAACTGAACACAGTATAAAGAAAGCATGATAACCTTCCTATCCAGAGGTGCCTAAGCCAGGCATGGTGGTCCATGCCTGCAGTCTCGGCACTCAGGAGGGTCATCGTGAGTTTGAGGCCAGCCTGGGCTACACACCAAGACCCCGTCTATAAATAAATAAATAAAGTGCCTAAATTTTAAGAAAAATACAAGCAGTAATATTCAATGTCCTTATGTACCATTTACACACTTTGTGAAAAAAGTGATGTAACATTTTAACAAATGAATTGGCTTATATTTTATTCCAAACATTTATGTTAAAAACTACATATAAACCTTCACTGTAGCGTCCCACGATGCAGAATAGAGCCTGTTGCCATGCCAACGGACCTGACTAACAGCATCATCATGCCCCATTAATGTGTCTTGACGTCTTCCAAATGCTATGGAATAAAAATAGCTAAAAGATAATGACAACTATTAGAACAGTATCCCAACATAATTTAGGACTCTCAAACACATATTTAAGAAACATGCTATTGTTTAATTTCATACTAAGGCCTACTCGAATTACAAATTTCTTCTTATTTAACAAAAATATTCAAATTTTTAATTTAAAACTAGAAATTCCCCAGTCTGGCTCATCTGTATTTTTATTTCAATTTAAAAGTTAGAAAAAATAGACTCCAAATGGAGAAATTATGAGATTCAAATAATATTTGAATACAGTGATACTGTCCTTGTCTCTAGTAACACTCTCTAGAGATTACATAGTGTCCACCAGTGGAAGGTTCTGTCCTTTTATACCTCATGTCCACAGAGAAAGTTCTTGTGCGTGTGGAATTACAAAGGAGCAAGCATCACAGATACATACACATTATTGTCCCAAGAAGAACTTATGACAGTGGCATCTCCTGGTAAAAGTAAACAAGACGATAAAGCCTGAAATACAAATGATTTGATATAAACAGTTGGTAATAGTAAATCTTTAATATGAGAAAACTATAATTTTCTCCCAAAATTAATGCAATTGTCCAATTCCTTCTCTGATGGCTCTTCTTATAATTATCCAGATATTTCTGAACTGGCTAATTTCAGATGTAAGGTTTCCTCCCAAATGTCAACTGCATTGTGAGCTAGCCTGAGGACGCAGGCTCTGATGGGGCAGAAGGAACAAGTTAATACCCTGGATCAATGTATGTGGACAGCAGACTGGGGATAATCCTTAAGAATGAAAATGCCCTCTCTGCAAATTTTCTTTGTTTATGTAGTCTACAAACTTTCTTAGGGAATTTCAAACTCTTTCGGATGCTTAACATTTAAAAATAAAACATGTTCTTTTAGAAGAACTGGCTTTGTTGCATTTGGTATTTAGCTAATTGAGAATTTCATAAATTATTTAACACATAAGCATTTTGTCTGACAGTTAAAGTAAAGATTTTATTAAAGAGACTACTACTGAGTAGCTCTTCAAATTTTTTAGCCTAAAATGAAGTCACAATAATATAAGAGGCAAGGTGGGAAAAATTTTAAGTTGAATTTAAAGTAAGGTATTCTGTAGATTGGGAATAAATTCAATTGTATGGACAGAAATGAAATAGGTGTGTATAAAACAAACTACTACTTGATTTTCTATCATAACACTGAAAAAATAAACTTACCATATTTGAAAATGATATACTTCTTTGTAGCATTTTGGATTCTTTAGAAAACATCTTCAAGGTGGAATCTAATAATGAGAAAGCAGACATGTGAGAAAAACTCTCCGAACCATCACCGTGTCAAAGGGTAGCTGCTCTGTTTGTTCCTGGAGGCCACAGGCGGTGTGATCCATGGGGGCTGGGTGCAGTCAGGGCTGGATGACCTAAGACCTGATCAGCACAAAACTCTAGTCTGTAACTGCTGAGGAAGAAATCAGTTTAAACCACAGAAACCCATGCCTTTGAAAAGCCTGGTAATTGAGGTGAGCAAATGCTACAAAGGAGGCAGACACCCAATGTTAGTATCAATACTAAAATAGCCACTTTAATATTAAAAAAGAAAGATCTTGGTAATTAAAACAGCCCAATTATAGTATGACAACCTTGAACTGAACTAGCATTTATGGCAGACAACCACTGACTTTTGAAAGAATAATAAAGTAAGAATTAAAATGTCCAACCTTTTAATTTCTTTGCCTAGTAGAAGCTTTAAAAGTTTACCAGTCTCACAAGCACAAGGACCCGAGTTCGATCCCCGGTACCAAAAAAACCCAAAAAACAAAAAAAAACAAAAAAACTTGTCACACTTTTTGGGGCCGGGGATTTAGCTCAGTGGTTCCAGTGCCTGCCTCCCAAGTGCAAGGTCCCGAGTTCAATCCCTGGTACCAAAACAAAAAAAAAGTTTACCAAAACCTTAGAAAAAACCCCAAACTAGAAGGCTGGAGATGTAGCTCAATGCCTAGCTTACACAACACTCTGCACTCAATCTCGAGCACACCCCTTCCCCACTAAATTGATAGGTCTCCCACCACCTCAGCAGCTATTATGTATAGTAGCTGCCCTCTTCCTATGGTGCCTTGCCCCTTCCCCTGTGTGA